CCCCCCCCCCCCCCTTACAGAAAGTTCTGGATCCGCTACTGACAGTATAGTAATTGTAATCTCGTTATACAAATCCTCGTTCTAATGAATAAATAGCAATACTATCTCAAATTCGTAGTTGCATGTATTATATGTTATATTCAGTTTTTTAAGCTTCATTGTGAGATATAATTAAAATGCAATTGATCTGTTCATAACCAACATGAGGGTCTGGATGGGGTTAACAGAATAGAGAATAATGAACAAAAAGTGCGGAATGAAGGGCATAAAATATAAAGAATAGAGAAAAAATAGGAGGGAAAATAAAAAAAATAGAGAATAATGAGGTGTTAAATATAAATAACGGAGACTATTGGGCAAAATCTATAAAGTATAGTGAAAAACGGCTGAAAAATTAAAGAATACAGAATTGAAGGACCCTCCCTCCAAACCCTCCAACATTGATCGTCTTTACCATGTAAAGATGTTTGTTAGTATTGCTATAAACACACTCACCTGACGAAAGATAATTGATTATGTCTCAAGATTCTGTATATTTCATTTTCTGAAGTCTTGTACATTTCTAGAAGAGATCTCAAAGGAGATTGATTTTTGCGGTTTAATGAGGACATTTAGATAGCTTGACTGGTTTTGTGTTCTATAAGATAACAATAAATATCAAATGGGAGTTGACCAGAGAGAGAGAGAGAGAGGGAGATAAAAGATATGGCGGTGTATTGTTAGGTGTCAGACCACCAATTCAAAATCCCTATCTATTCAACCAAATTTTGCAATTTTCACAGCTTACTTAATATTTTACCTTATTAATAAGTGTAACTTCATAGAAACCAGGTATATCCTGAATTGTACATGTATCACCTTTGTACATGCCAATTTTCAACCCATATTTAAAGTCTTCTAAGAAAGAACTGCCTTTCAGAAGCCAAGTACTACTGGAAATAACCCCTGGTTTTCTGGAAATCTTTAATTAGTATGTTATGGAGAGCAATAATCCTCAATTTTTAAAACAAACTCATAGACAAGTAAATTTTGGCTCAAAATGGTCTAAATATATTTCTCTTTCACCAAAAGTTTTATTTCTGCAAATTTGTTGGTTAGGTTAAGTAAACAATGACATCAAAATCACTATTTTTTGTCAGAGTAGGGCTACTTTTACATACGTTCTAAATTGGAGGGAAGAAATTGGTGGTCTGACACCTAATATTTTAGTCTATTAACATGATGGTTTATTTGTTAGTTGAAATTGGGCTTTAAACTAACGTAGCTTTCTGTATTTGCGAGCACTCTCATATCGACACGTTGTTTCTTTGTGGTTTTTTTTCTTTCTTTTTTTTTGCTTTTGTGCTTAGTTCAAATATGATGAGTTAAGACTTTTTGGACTGAATTTTACAGATTGTTATTATGTTGTGTGGTTACACCATTGTGATAGGTAAGGGAGGGTAAAGCTCTAACAAGCATGTTTAATCTTGTCACTTTTTTGTGTGTTCCTGCTCAAAACCAAGAGCCTGTAATCCCAGCATTTGATGTTGCTTGCTGTCTGTCATAGTTGTTTTTTCGTTTATTGTTGTCGAGCCTGCGACTTTTGTCGCAAAAGCGAGACATATCGATCCTACATATTCCGTCGTCGGCGTCGTCGGCGGCGTCCACAAGTATTCACTCTGTTGTTCTATAAATTTCAAATTTTAATAACTTTCTTAAACTATCCTAGATTTCTACCAAACTTGGACAGAAGCTTGTTTATGATCATAAGATAGTATCCATAAGTAAATTTTGTAAAAAAAAATCCTGTTTATCCGTATTTTACTCATAAATGAACTTAGTTTTTCTGCCAGTTAACATTACATTCACTCTGTGGTTAAAGTTTTTCAAATTTTAATAACTTTCTTAAACTATCCTGGATTTGTACCAACTTTGGACAGAAGCTTGTTTATGATCATAAGATAGTATCCAGAAGTAAATTTTGTAAAAAAAAAATCCTATTTATCTGTATTTTACTTATAACTGGACTTAGTTTTTCTTCCAGTTAACATTACATTCACTCTGTGGTTAAAGTTTTCAAAATTTTAATAACTTTCTTAAACTATCCTGAATTTGTACCAAACTTGGACAGAAGCTTGTTTATGATCAAAAGCTAGTATCTAGAAGGAAATTTTGTAAAAAAAAATTCCTGTTTTTCCGTATATTACTTATAAATGGACTAAGTTTTTCTTCCAGTTAACATTACATACAGTCTGCAATTAAAGTTTTTAAAACATTTATTAGATTCATAAACCATCCTGGATTCTTACCAAACTTGAACAGAAGCTTCTTACAATCAAAAGATAGTATCGAGGAAAGTTTTTAATAATTATTTCCTATTTTTGTTGAGCCTGCGACTAACAGCAAAAGTAGGCGAGACACTGGGTTCCGCGGAACCCTTACGAATTTTTTTAGTATAAATCAAGCCGTTAGTTTTTTCTCTTTTTAATTGTTTCATATGTTATCATTCTGTGCTTTTTATAGCTTACAATACGATAGGGATTTGCTCGTTGTTGAAAGTCGCATGGTGACCTGCAACTATTCACACATTTTGTGTGTCTTTGATCTTTAATGGCCAGTTGTCTTATTTGCAAAAATAACATTATCAGTTCAAACTTTATAGCTATAGAAATCAACCTATATGATTTGTGACTAAAACAAACAAAACATAGCAGAAATATTTAAAGTATAAATGACGAGAAAAAAGCATGTACAATAATAATAAACAAACTAATTAATACATATATATGGTATAATAGTTTATTATTCAATCGTGAACCCCTTAATATTAATGACTGCTTCATAAAGAAACCTATGATTTCTACTTGTGTTGATGGGCAGAGAATAAATTTCAGATTAGCATCATTATTTAGGTCATTCAATTTTTATGCCCCCGCCTAAACGGAGGGGGCATTAAGTTTTACCCTTGTCCGTCTGTCCGTACGTCCCAAAATTGGTTTCCGTTCTCTAACTTAAGTTTGCCTCAACCAAATGTTATCAAACTTATACACAATGCTTATTACTACCAAACACATATCAAGTTTGAATTTTGGTGGCGTCACTTTAACCGTTCTAGAGTTATGCTCCTTTATAAATGGCAAAATTTTTCATTTCCGTTCTCTAACTTAAGTTTGCCTCAACCAAATGCTATGAAACTTATACACAATGCTCATTACCACAATACACAGATCAATATTGAATTTTGGTGGCATCACTTTTACTGTTCTAGAGTTATGCCCCTTTACAAATGGGAAAATTGCTAAATTTTTCATTTTTTTTCTAAAAATATCAATGATGTCATTGTTCAAGTAATTTTTAAAATTGGAGTTATCTTCCTTTGTCCATGATTATAGTTGAATCAACTACAATCAATGCTTTTATACAATGCAATGTTTAATTTTGCCTTCCACTGATAAAACACAGATCAAGTTGAATTTGGGTAGTGTCACAAAACATTATTGAGTTATGCCCCTTTATAAATCGAAAAATTGCTAAATTTTTAGTTTCCGTTCTGTAACTTAAGTTTGCCCCAACCAAACATGAAACCTATACACAATACTTATTACCACAAAACTAAGATCAAATACAAATTTGGGTAGCGTCACTTTTATTGTTCTTGAGTTATGTCCCTTTATAATGTTGTATGCAAGCGGGGGCATCATCTGTGTCCATGGGGACACATTCTCCATTTATTTAATACAATTTGCGTCATTTAATTTTTTAATAAAAGCTGGTTTTATGGTTGAGTTCCTGCAATACAAAAAAAACTCAAATACATTGCAGGACTGACACAACCGGTTTTCCGTTGGAATTTTCAGGTTGACATTGAAATAAGTTCCCCTGAACTCTTCCATCCAAAATTAAGACTGATGTTAAACAGGAGGTATATTTGGCTGTGCGGAATATATGAATACACAGTCACGTTCGTTAGGAATGGGGACGTGTTGTAAAGCAAAAAAAAAACACCTCTTTTCCAATGGCAGTCTAAACCCAATTTTCATCCCTGTCGACCTACTTTGCAGATTCCCCCAATTTTATTTATTGTTATATTGTTCTCGTTTTGAATATGCATGAAATATATTCCACAAAACTTTCAGGAAACACCAATCAATTCCTTCAACGTCCTGAAGAGTACTCCAAGTTTCTTCTCAATTTTTCTGACATATAGATAAGCTGTTCGGATCAATTTAGAAAAATGAACATTTGCGTGGAATATACTATATATATCTATACTTTTACTGCCATTATAAGTTTAAGATTTAACTCGTGAATGTATGTAAAATTTTCGCATTGATCTTATATAAACATACTAATTTGACACAACAGTTCTGCTAATTAACTTAAAAACGTCTAAGCTTTCTCATTTCATTTTGCACATTCAAAATTATATTACGAAAAAACTAGCAAGATTTTCATGCCTGATAAAATGTGTTTAAATAAAGTGTTATTATTATATTCACCGTTATTGATAATAAATATTGCCAGAGTTAATTTTTTCAAACACCATGCTGATTTTTTATGTATGTATTTGTTGGCATACCGCATTTATATTTCATTTAGATATTTAATTTGATACAGTTCAACTGCAGTATACCATTTACTCAATTTCAATAGAGTTATATGTGGGAATTTATAGTACATTTAGAATTTTAAATAATATAAATTGATGTTTCGTAATAATATTAAGACTAGCTGAAAGACCGTATCAGTGGAATATAATCTTCATGATAAAATAAAACCGTTCACCAAGTAAGCAGACGAGTCTTTTCATCTTTTAAGTATGCACTCTTAAGTGTAAACTTTTAATAAAAATAACCCAGGACCTTCAGTGGAGGTATAACTTTCTTTTCACCTTTCTCACGGAGTACAAATATTAAAATAACTTTTATAATTTCCAATTAGTACCGTTTTCCGTATAAAATTCTTGATTAGTTGACATGTTATTACATGTTATAAACATGATATATAATTTTTTAACAAAGGTGGTGTTGACGTCTCCCTTACGTAAGGAAGTGTTTTCAATGAAAAGATATATGAACCGTTTTATCTACAATATACTTTAAAAAGAAATTTTGAATATTTTTTTTCTAAAGAGACACAATTAAATTTTGAAATAACTAATGTAGTGATAACATCTACGGTGTGTGTTAAAACAAAAACAAAATATATATGTTTAGAGGAAAAGTATTTCAGAGATCGTTGGATACATATAATGTAAGTAATTTTTTTATATATATATCTGTTATATTTTTCGTTAATTGTGATATTTTGTTTGAGTTGATTACGACATATTATTTTATAACATTGTATGCTTGAATCGTAGGGGTTAGTTCTTTAAATTCGTGTATGTAAGTATGAAAGCAGAACGTTCTATTAAAACAAAACTCCGTCTTAGGGTTTCTATTGAAAATTTTACCACTTCATTTAAGAACGAATTTTGAATTAGACGTGTGTGGTGGTGTTGTGTTAACATTTTCATGTTAACTACCAAACGGTTTTAATAAAAAATACAGTCCATGCAACTGCAGTTTACCGTTTTTAACACTAATTAAAAGACTGCTCTTAAAAACATATAGACGTACAAACAAAGGCGTACAACAACGAACAACACATGGTTCAGATAGCCTGATTTGGTACAGGCACACAATCTGGTTGAGACCATTTAGATGTATAAACTTAACAAATTCCCTTTTGGGTATCTAGACCTTATGTCGTAAAAGTAAACCCCACAATACAATAAAAAAAACAACCTGCATAGCGCAGCTACCAACAAGATGATCACAAATTTAAGTATAGTTGTGGGTATTTTTCTTCTTCTTGTTGACAATTTCACAGATATGTGAGCTATTGCCATCACCAGTTATCTGACCTCGTCGTTGTCATCGACAATTATATTACACTCCAGACTACTAGTACAATCTTTACGGTCTTTTTGAATGATCTGAAAACTTTTACAGAACTTTTCTGGGAACCAGAACTCAACATTTTTGTTGTCAAAATATCATCTCCAAAAATATCATAGTATCAATAATTTTTGTGCCCCCCCCCCCCTCAACCCCATCCCCAACCCCCCCCCCCCCCCCCCCCCCCAAAAAAAAAAGAAGTAAAATACTGGATTACCGGATACATATAATAAGCTACAGGAGGTTTTTGAACAGAGAATATTTATCTTTGTTGAAATATTGAAATATTTTATCACAAGTTTCGTTTCTATACTGGGGCGTTACTACAAACATATACAAACTAATAAATATATCGAAACAAATGGAGTTAGCGATAAACATATCCGTGCTTGTCCACCAAATGTCAAATCTATGCAGCTCAATCAAACATGCACAATCTTATGTCACATAATTATGAAAAAAATATTTTGAAGATATAATATTTTCTCTGTCTAAATCTAACCAAATGTGCTAAACGTTTATGTTAAGAAAGCGCGTTCTCATATTTGACACAAGAAACAATTTAAATGTTTCTTTAATCTGGCGAGTAGAAGTACTTTAAGAGTATGGGTATTGGTTTTCTTGTCCTTTGTTTCTGTATGTATATCATCGATTGATAATGAATGATCATCTTGCCTACGTATTAAATCATGTGACCACTGGAAAATACAAATATTAGCACAAACTAAAGAATATGACATATTTATTGAAACTAATCATAATAAAGACTCATTTTGTAAGTTCTGGATTGTTTGCTCGATTGATAAACTACGAATTTATTGCTTTTATGATATAATACATCGTGTCCTTGTTTGCAATTTAGAACATTTGAGACACTTTGAAGAAGAAAAAAGAAACTAGATTTCTTGAAATTTAATTGTAACAAACTGTTTTCAATAGGACACGAATGGCGATAAGGAGTCAAGTTAAATATTTTGTTTAATATATACCATCATAATCTAAAAGAACGTAATTGGCTGCGCTGCTGGTGTATAAAAAGGGGGGACCGGGGTGACATTCAATCTTGTTCAAAATATAACTGACTCTTACACCAATATCATACATTTGATCCTTTATGATATAAAGGTAACACTAAGGGTACTAGAAAGTGCAGATCAATTTATTTAAAGTTTTATGGATGCAAATATCATTAAGGACAACACAATTTTTATTTGATTGATTTGAATTGCCATTTTTCGAAGTTCGATCAGATTCCATGGAAATGTGAATGAGAATTAAAATATATCGTCGATCATGCTGTTGTGTTTCAATTCATGTCAAATGCAATGTCAAGTAGTACATGCTGTGTGGTAGAAAGCGACATTAAACGCGGTGTACTGAATGCTAAAGCGTATTAGCCACAACGTTGTCAACTCATTACGTTTGACGTTTCCATTGCATATAAATCGTACATTTATGAAACCGTGTAAACATAACACGATGGTCGTTCATTTTGTCCCGAAAGTAAAATTGAAAAGATAATATTTTTAAAATCACATTATAGTCGTTCGTCAACTTGTGTCAACATAACATACGTAAAACCCGCTACAATCTATTTGTTTATATACTATAATCAAACACGAAAATATTTTTAATTCATATTTTTAGCTATTTTGATTTATCAGACGTCCATTTCGTATAAATACTTTAAAAAAAAACAAAAGAAAAACAAGGAAATGAAATATATATATAAAAAAAAATCCGTTACAAGTATAGACTGACAAACAAACATTTTGTAAACATATATTTCAAAACAAGGCCAAACATGTTGGGTAGTGGTTAAGTTAGTTAAATTTAAATTCATTTGGTAAAATAGAATATTTAGAAATCTAAAAACAAAAATTGGATAAAAAGATGAAAAAAATAACAGAAAAAAATAGAAAAAAAAACATGCATTGTTTTATCCGACGGATGTATGGAATTAAACATAGCAAGAAGCAAGGGCGTAACAGAACGTATGTTTTCTCAATGTTTTGTTTTGGTGATTGAAATAAAGCAGTATGTTTGTTGGATAATATGATCATTATCATTGAAAATGTGGTTCACTTACAATTTAATAATAATAATACAAATGTACCTGTATATATCAAAACGATATGTTATCCTTTATAATCTTATCAACAGTTTTCTAAATATGAGTATGAAGTTAACACAACTGAACTATCTCGCAACAATAATTCCAACGCTAAACGATTGACGATTTTTCTAAACCATGATATAAGAACATCAAGATAAAAGTTTCAATATAAATATCTATGTGTCTAGTAACAGACTGTTTTCCTTCCTTATATTATATAATGTTAATCCTTATTGCTTTTTCATGTGGAGTCAAAACTTTTAATTACTTATACCAAACATATTGGAACTTATTTTGGAAGTAATATTTGCAAACGAGTTTCAGATATGTCATTTTAATCGTTTTTTTTTTTTTGCTTAATAACTTTGATATTGATGGATATAACGAATTGACTTCTTACACTCGATGACATTTTATGAATTCATTTACAACTGCTCTTTGCTTTGTTGATTCGATATTTTGTCTCTGCTAGATTAATTTTCATATTTTGCAATGTGCAATGTATGTCTGTCTATCATAAGACTCCTTTTGTTAACCTATAAATGTCTTTTTGATTGTCGCTGAAAGAAACAACCATCTCTGCCCTTAAATAAACAACAAGAAACACCTGATAAGTACCTCATCCCACTTACAAAAAAAACCACACGAACAAAAACAACAAATAAACAGAAATCAACATACACACAAACCAAAACAACAAATGTACAGAAACAAATCAACAAACACCAAACAAATAATCAAATAGAAAACAAACAAATGCGACAACAAAATGCCGCGAAAACTAACAAATACCAAAGAAACAAAACAATGTAAAACTTCCTGGTGTTAATTAATAGTATACAGTATATGTGTTCAATCAAGTTCATCGGGAAGTGAAATAGGACCATGCTGTCTAGATTTATCTGATCGTGAATACACATTAACCATTGATTAATCCTGGGAACAGTATATCTATATATGTCAATATATATGTTCCTGATTAATCCAAACAAAGTCAAAATAAGGCTTTAATAGATCTGCGGAATATTGCAAGGTTTAGTTAATTAAAACGATAAATAATAAATTAAAAGTATATTGGTAATTTGATTTGTATGCGTATCGTGGGTTGAACTATGACATATGGCAGGTACAAAATATCTAGAATCTTCATTCGTGTCAAATAAAAAAGTATGCTACAAGACAAATGGAAGTTTTTAACGACCTTGACTACAAGGGGCAATTAGTCTTACATATATTCTGATGCCGGAAGTTAACAAAAATCGGTACAACCAATCAACGATGATGATTAAAATCTATCGAACATGTATGTCGTAAATGGGATCTTACACTTTTCATTCTATCAAATACCAATAAAGTATCTTTATGATTAGATATCACGAAATATAATTTTTGATTCCAAGTAGTCTGTCCATAAATAAATTTGTCTTTTCATAAAACCACAATTGAGGTAAAGTCAAGTGCCGGATGTCATGATTTTAATGAGATCTCTTATAAAATTAAAACTTTAAATGTATTTTGTAATATCTGTACTTTTTTTAGACATAACCGTCATCACAGATGGTAATATAATTTTACTTTTACATTAAATTTCTCTTTATCAGATATTATGTCAATGATTATGAAATCGACATCGATTTGTTAATGTTGTTAATGTAACTATATCTTTTGTTGTACACCTGTAATTGGTATTGAACAATTAATTTTCCACAGAAATCAATTTTTCCAAAGTTGGCAAATATTCTATTGATTTACCATTTTATTTGTTCGTCTATCTGGAACTAGACCAGAGTAACACTCGATATTTTTAAGGCAATTCAGAAAGACCGACAGCTAGTGCAAAAAAGAATCAGACGCGTAAGATTAGATTGAATTTGTTGGATGTAATTGCAGCAAGGCGATAGCGATAAACTCGGTTTCACGCTTTATGGACGACTAGGCTATAAAGATAAATTGACATGCTGAAAATAATAGTGAACGTTCTGCATTTGATAATTTCTAAATGTGGATGTAGTTTTTCATTATTGGGAACCTAAGTAACTGTAATTTACATGTTATTTTTTCAGAAATAATAAAAAACAGACAATACGCTTAGACGAAGACGATGGGTTGTTTACTTACAGTCGGTAGAATATTTTGTGTTGTCGTCAATTTATTGTTTTTGGTAAGTAATTGTATTTACTTTTGGAATTAAGATTTTCACTAACGTAGTTACAACACTAACATATTAACGTTTAAATTATACTGTTTTTTGTCGAGCCTGCGACTTTTGTCGCAGAAAGCTTGACATAAGGATAGTGATCCGGCGGCGGCGGCGGCGGCGGCGGCGGCGTTTGCTAACTTCTTAAAAGCTTTATATTTTAGAAGGTGGAAGACCTGGATGCTTCATACTTTGTGTATAGATGCCTTATGTTACGAAGTTTCCATCTGTCACGACCTGGTTTCATGGATCAGTGAACAAGGTTAAGTTTTGGTGGTCAAGTCCATATCTCAGATACTAGAAGCAATAGGTCTAGCATATTCGGTGTATGGAAGGACTGTAAGGTATACATGTCCAACTGGCAGGTGTCATCTGACCTTGACCTCAATTTCATGGTTCAGTGGTTATAGATAAGTTTATGTGTTTTGGTCTGTTTTATGCAACAGGTCTACTATATTTGGTGTATGGAATGATTGTAAGGTGTACATGTCTAGCTGGCAGCTGTCTTCTGACCTTGACCTCATTTTCATGGTTCAGTGGTCAAATTTAAGTTTTTTGAGTTTTGGTCTTTTTTTTCTAATACTATATGCAATAGGTCAACTATATTTGGTGTATGGAAATATTTTATGATGTACATGTCAGTCTTGCAGGTTTTATTTGACCTTGAACTCATTTTCACGGTTCATTGCTCAGTGTTAAGTTTTTGTGTTTTGGTCTGTTTTTCTAATACTATAAGCAATAGATCAACTATATTTGTTGTATGGAAGGATTGCAAGCTGTACATGTCTGCCTGGCATGGTTCATCTGACCTTGACCTCATTTTCATGGTTTATTGGTCAATGTTTAGTTTTCTTGGTTAAATCTGTTTCTTGTATACTATAAGCAATAAGTCAACTATATTTGGTGTATGGAATGATTGTAAGGTGTACATGTATATCTGGCTTGATTTATCTGACCTTGACCTCATTTTCTTGGATCATGTTAAGTTTATGTGACAGTTGTAATATAGCTTTATATTTAGGACTATCAACATAATATCAGTGATTAGTAAGGAAGGCGAGACATTTCAGCGTATGCACTCTTGTTTAGTGTAAAAATAATCATTCACGACACGAGTTAAACTTTTTTGTGAACTTGTTTATGTCTGAACTTCAGAATGATGACGGGCTTTCAATAAATTCAATCACTGTAGAGAGGAGTTTGCTAATATGCCGAAATTTGTCAATGGCATCCGATTCCGGAAGTTTACTTATTAATTGATTGATTGACTAATGTTTTTTTAACGTCCAGTGGCACTTATTTAATGTGTATTCATAATGAAGGGCGGGAAACCTGGAGTTTTACTCGCAAAACAAGGGTCTGCTGGATAGGGGTAGAAATTTTGCTTTGCAGCAGGTAACCTTCGGATTCCTCAAAAAGTCGTTGCCAGGTTTCGTTAAATACATCAAATACAGTTGACGAAGTACTTATAGCACATTGTATCTGAGACACTCAACTAAACATGAAACTTAAAAGTTTACCAATGAACCATGCAAAATTTATGTCGAGTCCAACAAACCTTGTCAGAAGATCGATATGTACACTTTACAGTCATTCTATATACCCAATATAATTGACATATATTGCTAATAAAACAGGCACATTCACGTGATATTAAAACTATGCAGTATTATGCCGTCATTGATCTGTGATAGGGATAATTTGTGTAAATTGTGCATCTTTATTTGAAACTATTTAAAAGGATTAGTTTTCTTAAATCTGATATCTTTATTATCGTTTTATCTAAATCATTTTATTTGCAATATTTGTCCGTCAAAGTAATTTTATTAACATGTAACGATTTTTCTTTATAATTCTATTTGTAAATAATAGATAAAGTCACAGCTTTGTATAGTTCTTAAGTTTTCTTATGTAAAGAATAAATTATCCTTAAGTCGTTTCAATTAGCGCTATTAAGTCTTAAACTCAAACGACAGATTTTTGTAATATTCTTTTGTTAATCTTTCAAGTGCTAATTGTATTATTTCATTGTCATTCGGTAATCTCATTTCTATTATTGTAACCATGTAAATGTATTCCATCCTGAATCAATAAATTGTTAACTACTGCATAGGACTTGTGTCTAATTCTACAAGTGGAGTTCAAGCGAGTATTCACAGTCAAGTGACTAGATCCTAGTCTATATCGTTGGCATCGCCAACATCTGCAACCGATCGTGGGTTGAAGCTCGTTATCATCATCAATCTAGTAGCCAGTCTCCCGGTTACAGATCAATGAAAATGAGGTCAAGGACATCGGACTTCTGCGGGATCAAACATCTCAGACCATAAGGCATCTACAATAGTAACATGTGCAAGATATGGATTATTTAGCTCTTCTACCTTCTGAAATAAAAAGCTTTAAACACTTTTGACTGCAAGTTTTTACTGGTGGAGGATGCCGGAGTACCCGGAGAAAACCACCATCGGCAGGATAACTGGAAATCCTAATCAATTAAATTTGGAGCCGAACGCACCTTGCCACGAGCAGTGTTCGAACTCACATCCTCAGTGTTGACAGGCTATAGTGATAACTGCAGGTGACTACTTAGAACACGTTGTCACCAGGGCCCCTTGATACGTTGTATAAACGTCACTGAAACAACAGCAAACACAACCAACCTAAGACATGTATATATACGTCAACATTTGATTTCTTATGTTACACATGAGTCAATACCATATGCCAGGCTCTTAATTTTTAATTAAATTTGTGAAATTTTGAAGTTTAATGAAGTTTCAAACAATTTTGAAAGGAATGCGCATTATGAGTATTCCATATACTGATTACCGTATTTAGAATAAGCATTAATTATTGTCAAAAATATTAGGTGCAGTCAATATTTTTACAAGTAAATAAATGTTATCTTGATATGAAAGCATTTTTTTAATTCTTCAGATAATTGGACTAATTCTATTTGCTGTTGGACTTATTGTAAAGTTTGGGGACAGTTTACTCAAATCATATTATCAACCAATCATAGACTCTCTTGAGAAGTCATTGCAAGATGCAGGATATTCAAATGCCACCCTCGACTTCAGTTTATCTGACATAGTTGGAAACCTGGCTCTTGCTTTCATCCTCACTGGATTATTTTTATTGATATTGACTATATTCGGACTTGGTGGGGCATGCTGTAAAGTAAAGTGTATGCTGATTATTTACGTTGTGATGCTGTCAACCGTACTTGCAGGACAAATTGTATTCATCATAATCTTTTACGCTAAACAAGAATTGGTAAGTATTTTAATCATACAGCTTAAAGAGCTATTGTTGCTGCTTCAAAAAGCAAAAGCTATTGTTGCAGCTTCAAAAGCTGTTGTAGCAGCTTTCGATAGATAGATTGGTTAATATTGGGAAAAATCAACATTTATCCATTTACATCAATCCTTACATTTGCATCATCGAAAGACTTTATTTGCACAGTATATCTATCTCTGAATCTAAATATATATATATTTTGTTTTAATACCGACCGTACGAGGGTTTTATAGCCGGTCAAGGTCGTGTTACACTCCTGTAGACGTAGTTGTTTTAAGGTAGATAGGGTGTCTTCCTCCATCTTGGATTTTGTAATACCTGAAAACAATCGGTCTAGATCTTTAATAGAATGTGCAAATTTTGAGAGTAGTAGGTAATTCATGTGTAAGAATTTTCATTTCAATATAGAAAATGACATGTTTTATCATATTTATGGTTGTATTTTACAAAAAACAGAAAACTTTTGTTTGATTCAATTTTTTCCAACTTTGCCACATAAGGGGAGGCAACTCAAATGTAAGGGCAGATAATTCAGATAAAGGTACTTTTACAATAGAATGTGTTAGGAATTTACCTATTTTATTATACATGTAGCAAGAAAACGGGTCCGGTGACCCCATTTTTTCTTTTTCTTATCTGAAAGCATACTATTAAAGCTATCTTCTCATATTTTATCTCAAAATTCTATGGTGTAGTTTTCGTTTTATGGCAGAAAATTGGGTTTTCCATGCATAATCTATACAAAATCTGTTAATTTTGAACAACCTGTAGCGTGAAAATAAGCCCCGTGACCCATTCTTTTTATCATTTTTTTTTTAAAAGCTTGATATAAACTACATTTTGGCAAATTATTAAAAAAATCTATGGATTATAATTTAGACACCCCATCTACCTTAATCGATGTAAGGGCAATTGAATTTTAACTGGAAACGGGGGCTTATGATTGGTTAAAATCAGTTTTAATTGAAATCAATCACTGATATCAAATACGGTATATAATTCTAAGTTTTATAAATCAAGTTACAGACATTTGATTATATTTTTAGTTTTTTTTTTTATATAAAATTGTAATCCCTTCTCACATCTCATATCTATAATAATGCATAAGCCCCAGCTTTCCATTAGTGATCTTGAATTTACATAACTTTTAATGACATTTAATGATAAATCTATTCATTATAAAAATAAGATTCCATCAAAAGTATAACGCTATTATGGGAAGCTTATTTTTTAATATATATTGTCTTCGAAATTACGCGCAGTATACATTTCAGCAACTTGCATTGTCATTAGCGTACTGCTTTTATAGTCATATCATTTGATTCTAGTATTTTCAATGAATTCGCACTTAACACATTTCTTATGCAACAACAGTCGTTTTAGATAGAAATTATGCGACAATCAATTAAGTCATAGTCTAATGCAAAAAGAATAAGCAAAGATCGTTTAAGAATGATTTCCCCACAGACCGTTGTCTCTGAATTTTTTTTACATATATACTTAATAGGCAGTTGCTATTTGTCCGGCTAGCCGGACGAATAGTACCAGGACGTTTTGTCCTGGCCAATACAATGCGCAAGTCACTATTTGTGTGTGCGTGAAATATAATCTTCAGCAGCACCAGGGGGTCGCAAATTATATATATGGACATTAAAAAGCAATGTTTTGCAATCCTAAATTGTTAGGCCCCAATCTTGTAATTGGTAATTGAAATTTTTGTTTTCTTCATATATAGTCCAATGTGGACAACGTATATAATTAGAAAAAAAATCATATATATTCCATATTAATTTCTTTATCTATGGCTTCAAACTGTAAGAGGGAAGAAATTACTCCGGTAAAACAAACTTGGGTCGTGATTGACTCATGCATTTTAAGTTAACGTAAGGATATGGTCTAGTTGTAAAAGGTACAAATTATTATGTCTGAAGCTTTCAAACAGAATTATAGACCTCCTCAACAAAAAGTTATCCATATTTAGAGTTAGAGGTGGGAGATTTTTTTTATAATGTCCCCCCACAAAAGTAAACAACACTGTAAAAATCTTATTAAGAAATTCCAGGTAGGATTTTATTCTATTTACGTGAGGGGATAGGGTGCTTCTTTTCCCAAATCCCTCTTTCTTTTTTTTCACCAAATCCCACCTTTATTGTCCCCTCTATTTCATATCCCCACTTTTTATAATTCTATATCTCACATCCCCACTTTTTGTAACCCCCCCCTAATATCCCACTTCCAAAAAGCCGTATAATTCCTCTCCACTGAGTTCGCGGGCTATTTGCAAGATTCATTTTCGGAATATAATTAAATTTTATTAAGTTAGACATGCCTTTGTAAAGGCCTTTCTCAATTACTCTTGCTCTTCCACCATTTATACAGCTATCATGAGCGAGTCGCATAATTTGATAAATTTATAGTTCTCTGACCAATAAACTTTTATTTTCCCTTTTCCTTGTGATTTCAATTATTTTTGAGTCCTCTTTATAAAATTATATCATTCTTTGAAGTTCATACTATCATATTCGCTTGTCAAATTCTGAAAACTGGAAAATTTATCACAAATATTGATATCGTCGTTTTCTGCCATGATCTAAAAATTGAAAATCAGTGATCAGATTACATGCAACCCCCTGGTGCTGTTGAAGATAATATTACATGCGATTCCGTTCGTACATAAAATGACATGCGCATTGCAATGGCCAGACAAATAGCACTAGCACATTCGTCCGGCTAGCCGGACAAATAGCCACTCCGTACTTAATATTATATTATGTTATAGAATTAGATGTATAGTTAATATTGTTTTCCATTCGTTCCATTGGTTGATATAGTCTAACGTTTGCTTTAATAAGTATTAATGGACTTCCCCTTTTTGAATTTTCCTCTAGGAGTTCGTTTTTGTTTTGTTAATACCTTTTTTATTCATATGATTTCAGATATCTGATAAAATAAAGGACAATTTGAAACCCGCTATCCAGACAGATTTCCAGGGTTTGAATGGAACCAATGTCGTATCTCTAAGTTGGAACTTTGTTAATCAGCAGGTATGAATATGTACTGCATATTTAATCTCGGAATGGGAAACATAATATTCATCTCAGTTCATCCAGTAATTGTATAAAAACGTCAACTGTTCGATTTAATGTCGCTAAATTATTTTTCCAAATTTAAAAAAAAATGCACTTCTGATCAGTTTAAAATTAAATTAAAACACCAATAATGAAAAAAGATTTATTGGTAAATACCTAGTTGTAAAATGTGAAATCTAAGTATTCAAGGTAAATTTACTTTATTGATTATTCAACATGAAATCTTCCCGTTGGTCTTAATAACATTTATAGCAATTGAATTACGTTACTCCATTCTTTTGATTGCTATAATGATTCAATATTTTATATATTACGTTCGTTAATCAAAAGGTTTTTCTGAATACCATATTTTATTTACTTCTAATATACATTGTGACATTTTGGAAAAAAAAAGAGAGAAGGAGGTGCAAAAGACAATAAAATAAATCCAACATAAATCGAAGACAAACAGATGTGTGTAAATAAAGTCGACCATGCTAGACCCTCATGGGTAGTCAGGGTCGTTAAACACTCCCGAGTAGTATGCAAATGAATGATATCCGGGTGCGTCTTTCACCCTGTCGACACTCTTATATTTTAGCATGGAAAATGGTCTTGCCTTTCTCGGACTGCATTTGACGTCTTGGAGATGTACTGATAGACATTTTAGTCTGGGCATACATGGGTTATTTATAAGTTGCAATGGAAATTTGAACTAGATTTCAGTAACTGCGAGTACTATTACTGTTATTTGATTTGGGCTTAGAACCGATGCAATCAGTCAAACCCTTTCGCACTGATCTGATTTTTACATTTGTTCTTATGCTGTGTTGTTATGTTATGTTATACATGTTATACTACTGTCCTTGGTTTGGGGGTGTTCACAAACATGTTGAACCCAACTACATATTTTATGCTTCTGTCCGATTCGAGTGGTTGTCTTTGGTGTGCTATTGTTGTTTTTCGTTTATTTTTTAAGTATAATTCAGGCCCTTAAGGTAGATGGGGTGTCTAAATTATAATCCATAGAATTTTTTAATAATTTGCCAAAATGTAGTTTATATCAAGCTTTTTAAAAAAAAATGATAAAAAGAATGGGTCACGGGGCTTATTTTCACGCTACAGGTTGTTCAAAATTAACAGATTTTGTATAGATTATGCATGGAAAATCCAATTTTCTGCCATAAAACGAAAACTACACCATAGAATTTTGAGATAAACTATGAGAAGATGGCTTTAATAGTAAGCTTTCAGATAAGAAGAAGAAAAAATGGGGTCACCGGACCCGTTTTCTTGCTACATAATAAAATAGGTAAATTCCTAACACATTCTATTGTAAAAGTACCTTTATCTGAATTATCTGCCCTTACATTTGAGTTGCCTCCCCTTATGTGGCAAAGTTGGACAAAATTGAATCAAACAAAAGTTTTCTGTTTTTTTGTAAAATACAACCATAAATATGATAAAACATGTCATTTTCTACATTGAAATGAAAATTCTTACACATGAATTACCTACTACTCTCAAAATTTGCACATTCTATTAAAGATCTAGACCGATTGTTTTCAGGTATTTCAAAATCCAAGATGGAGGAAGACACCCTATCTACCTTAATTGGTTTTGTCGTTTGAATGATTCACAATTTTGTCACTCCGTGGCCTTTTATAGCTAACTGTTAGGTATTGATTTTGCTGATTGTTAAAAGCCGTAGAATGACGTTTAGATTGCTCGAATGTACTTCCTGTGGGTTTGATGGATAGTTGTCTCATAAGCATTCATACCACATCTCCTTATTTTTTTATAAAGCAAGGGTCAAAATAAGACCGACGAAAAGACAAACAACAGTCCACAAAACATTACTCAGAAAACTAAAGATTAAACAACAAGAACCTCATAAAAACCTGGAGGTGAACTCAGCTGTTCCGGAAAGGTAAACAGTTCCTGCTTTACTGGTGGTACCCGTCCTATTTTGTTTAAAAAAGAGAAGATATATTTTTTTACTGAAAAAAAATAACATTATTCATTATATTTTAGGTGAAGTGTTGCGGAGTTGATAGCTACAGTGATTTTACTGGCGCTTCTCAGTGGATTATAAATTATTCCGGTTATACATTACAGACCCCGCTAAGCTGCTGTAAAGAACTTCCATCTTCTGGTGATTTCTCGTGCGCATCGTCACCTACAGACGCTACTAATTATTGGAAAACGGTATTCTTTTCTTATACGTGCATTGGTATACGTTTGAAATATCTAAACAAATACAGATTATATAAACGTGTAGCGATTATGTTGTCAAGAAGATATAACTTCGAATAAGAGTTTTATATATATTTTAGAAAGATTTGTAATAAATCATGTCAGTACTGACTATTCGGTACTGAATACTGAACTGCTGATATCCTTGGGGATACAACACTTTATAAATTATGCGTTCAAAGAGCTTTTATTGATTTACCTTCATCAGTAACGCTCAAAGCAGAATATTTGAAAGCCAAGGATGTATAAGAACCGAAAAAGTTGAAAATGTAATTGTCTTATCTTATTACACTGCTTAGGTTAAAAGGACGAAATTATTGTTAGAATATGCTTCATCAGGTTTTTAAAGTACCACTGAGTTGCTACATCTCATTGACATATTCCTCAACTATGTTTACATTCATTGACATACACCTCAACTATATTTACATTCATTGACATATATTTCAACTATTTTTACATTCATATATCATATACAATCTTTTGTCTACCATGGTCTCAAAATTTATCCCACGTGACTCACCAACATCAAGCTTTTAACAGATCTATTTAGATTTTGTTTTTTCCCGTTCGCCAAACTTTACATTGTCCCTCAATATTCAAAGTATCAAACATTTTGTCTTTTGATCTAATTTAATGTAATTTTAAATCGCCTCTAAAAAGTCACAATCCGAGGAAGCAATTCGGTTAATCATTTTTGTCGAGCCTTCGACTTTTATCTAAAAAGCGAGACATAGCGATCCTACATTCCGTCGGCGTCGTCGTCGTCGTTGTCGTCGGCGGCGTCCACAAATATTCACTCTGGTTAAAGTTTTTGAAATTTTAATAACTTTCTTAAACTACCCTGGATTTCTACCAAACTTGGACAGAAGCTTGTTTATGATCATAACATAATATTCAAAAGTAAATTTTGTAAAAAAAAAATTCAATTTTTTCCGTATTTTACTTATAAATGGACTTAGTTTTTCTGCCAGGAAACATTACATTCACTCTGTGGTTAAAGGTTTTGAAATTTTAATAACTTTCTTAAACTATCCTGGATTTGTACCAAACTTGGAAAGAAGCTTGTTTGTGATCATAAGATAGTATCCAGAAGTAAATTTTGTAAAAAAAAAATTCCACTTTTTCCGTATTTTACTTATAAATGGACTTAGTTTTTCTGCCAGGAAACATTACATTCACTCTGTGGTTAAAGTTTTTGAAATTTTAATAACTTTCTTAAACTATCCTGGATTTGTACCAAACTTGGAAAGAAGCTTGTTTGTGATCATAAAATAGTATCTAGAAGTAAATTTTGTAAAAAAAAAATCCATTTTTTTCGTATTTTACTTATAAATGGACTTAGCTTTTCTGCCAGGAAACATTACATTCACTCTGTGGTTAAAGTTTTTAAAATTTTAATAACTTTCTTAAACTATCCTGGATTTGTACCAAACTTGGACAGAAACTTGTTTATGATTAAAAGCTAGTATCTAAAAGGAAATTTTGTTAAAATTTTGTTCCATTTTTTCCGTATTTTACTTATAAATGGACTTCGTTTTTCTTCCAGTTAACATTACATAACAGTCTGCAGTTTAAGTTTTTATTTTAAAACATTTATTAGATTCATAAACTATCCTGGCTTTTTACCAAACTTGGACAGAAGCTACTTACAATCAAAAGATAGTATAGAGAGGAATATTTTTATTCATTTTTTTCCTCATTTTTGTTGAGCCTGTGATTAACAGCAGAAGTAGGCGAGACACTGGGTTCCGCGGAACCCTTACGAATTTTTTTCGAATGTGTTTAGATCAACACTTAAGTGACTATTATCATTAGAGATTTACAATAAAACAATGGACAACCTTATAAACTTATACTTCTAGTTACACATTTAACAACAATTTTACTATATCCTATTATTTTTCATGACAAAGAAAATATTTTAGGATTTGATTATATTTAACAGTAATCTTTTATGTTTTCAGAGTTGTTTTGACGAACTGTGGAATAAAGTAATAGGCAATGTTGCCATTACAGCAACGGTGTTGGCAGTTGGGGCGGCAATTCAGGTAACTAAATACCATATATTTGAAGAATCGTATATCGTCGTGTTTGTTGTAACACCCAGAGGATTTTCTGGAATAAAGGAATATGGTCCTCCATTGGTCTTTTTCCTACCGGCAGTAAAACCTTAGTTAAAAGAAAACGTCTGTTTGGTTGTGCTGGATACATAAATACGTTTTATTCACCTCCTGGCAGAATAGGGACAATGCACCGTGTAGATAGAGTGTTACGATCTTTGCACGTTAAAACCCTCGCAACGGTTACAACTCTTTTATGGGTCCAAAGGTGGCCTGTTGCAAGGTTTAATTTCTGTCCCTATTCACCTATACCATCATTTTCCAGTGGCGTTTCAAATGTCCCGTCCATCATCCAGGTCAACCCCTTTTTGCAAGACCTACCTATTGAATTTATTATAAATTTGTTCTCGTCCTGAGCATGCATGAAATATTTGCTACTGGACGTTAAGCAAACAACAAACAATCGATGTTGTTACTAGTTAACATCAATGTGCGTGTATACTAGACTATATACAAACACCAACAGAGCGAAAAACAACATTACCAGTACAATCAAGGACGCCCGAGGTCAACTTTGTCAACACATTAAGTATAATGAATTTCGGTCGATAAAAATTGTATGGTTAATGTCATAAAAAATTGATAGGTACACCAACAGCTAAATCACATAAATCTGCTTTCAAATCAATATATCAAGCTCTGCGTTTAAAACGTGCTGTAGGCCTTCTATGACCTTTAAAATCTAAAACATCATGATTCCTGCGGAAAACTACCTTACAGTAGTAAATGAATTTTATTTCTTATTGGTCATTTTGATCTTAACATCATCTGAAAAGTCTGAACAATAAATTATTCAGTCGTGCTCAGTCTGTCAGTCAATTTTTAGACTTCAGTACTGTTCAAAAAAGTCTCTTACAGTCAATTCAGTACTGTTAAAACAAGTCTTTTATAGTCAATTCAGTACTGTTCAAACAAGTCTCTTACAGTCAATTCAGTACTATTCAAACAAGTCTCTTACAGTCAATTCAGTACTGTTCAAATAAGTCTCTTACAGTCAATTCAGTACTGTTCAAACAAGTCTCTTACAGTCAATTCAGTACTGTTCAAACAAGTCTCTTACAGTCAATTCAGTACTGTTCAAACAAGTCTCTTACAGTCAATTCAGTACTGTTCAAATAAGTCTCTTACAGTCAATTCAGTACTGTTCAAACAAGTATCTTGCAGTCAATTCAGTACTGTTCAGTAACTTTTTAGATAAATCAGTATGATGTTGATGTGTACACGTAAATAACAACTACTGAACAGTGTAAACAGAGCATGAACATATCTAAATTGACTGCGAGCGAAGTGTCTGAACAGTACCGAACTAACCGTAGTGGATAAGTCTGAAAATTGTCTGGAAGACTGAAAAATTACTTGATAATTTATTGTTCAGTCTTTTAAAAGACCTAATAATTGGCCTTTTTGATTTGGAATATAAAGTGCAACTAGCAAGCAGAAGGTATACCAGAGGAACACTACGACTTAAAACAATTGCACGTTTCCATTTGCGCTTAAAGGTGTTCCCAAAATTTACGTATTCTTTTTTAACTGATGTGCCAACCATATTATAATGTTTTAACCATGAAAATATCATTCTGATCTTGAAATTAACTATCTTAATTGAGACAAATTAAAATTAGTAAAATTTCATTTGAAACTTTTCTGATATGGGTGAAATGGTGGTGCATCACAATAATATTTCTTTTTTTTGGGGGGAGGGGGGGGGGTTCCACAATGGGGACAAAATTACCTTCCTCTTTTCGAATTTACTACATAAATTACATAAAAGAGATTCAAAATTATCCATAGCTGAGTGTTGGATGGGTCCTTCAAATATGCATTCTTTAATAATTGTTTGAGCCATTTTTCTCTTTTCTTTATTAATTTTGCCCATTATTATCTGTTTTTTATATTTTGGCACCCCATTATTCTTTATTCTTTATTATTATTTTTAGCCTGTTTTTCTCTATTCTTGATATCTTTTTACCCTTTATTCTGCAGCTTTTGACCATTATTCTCTCTTCTGTAAACCCTACCTAGACCCTCATAGCTATCAAGTTCTTCCATATTATGACTTTATAATGAATAAAATGAGATGTTGAAGAATTCCTTTTTTGTTAGTACATTCATTAAGGACAAATTTTAGCTCTGTATTTCTTTATATAGTAATACCTAATATGCGTTGACCGATTCTATGTAGCTTCAGTTTCATATTTATTTTTATTATTCATTTACAGCTTCTATTAATTATAGTAGAATTTGTGATGTTTATGGATGTAAGAAAAAACAAAGTAGACATGAAAGGATGATAGGTAAGTCAAATAAATTATCTTATTTTGATCAATTATATACTTACAATCACCAATAAGGAGTATGTCAATGCCTTGTAAATTTTATTAGAAATTACCTAGATTTACAACACCATACTAGTTCAGAATAGACACGTCTTGTATCCGACATTGATAACTCCATAAATGCGAGCCGACTGGTTCATACTGTGTAATAGGACTCCAAATATCGTTAAAAAGGGCCTTTGTTAAGTGAAGCGAATTTAAGGAGCGACAAACATATTTTTACCGCATGAGCTTAAAAGACATTTGAATATTCAATTAAAACTTCGACCTGATAAAAATGTAACTTTTCCCTTTATTTTTGTTTATAAAAAATGTACACCAATAAAAACATAAATTCAAGGGTAGGTTTAGGGAGGGGGCTCACCGGGCATGCGCCTATATATGTATACCCTCTTAAATCGAAATATAGCATTTGTTTACATAAAAAATGTCAAAAGAATTTTCGTTAATTGACAAAAATAAAACTGTTGTATTGTATTGTATCGTATGACAATGAATGACAAACAAAGTTCTGAATTGTCAGTTTCCGATAGAGAACATGAAATGGAACATATAAAAGTAAACACTAAAAAAGATATAATAACATAAATACCGAGCTCTAAGGTTAATTCAAAAAGTGACAAAGACAAATGCTCGACTATTTCAACCAACGGAACGACTCAAAAACAGCTATCAAATTCCTGACTTGGAACATAATCTTGGGTGTTGTTCAATGTCAGGATTTCCTTGATAGAGGACTGTTGCTTACAGGGAAGCTTTTGAACCAAGGGCTAGTATAGTTAAAGACATTAATCTTCGAACGTGGATTTGGCGCCATCATGATTTAGTTGATTGTTATGAATTATCTGTGTCACTTATTATCTTAATATGTTCCTATTATCGTGACCACCATCCAAAATCACCGATTGCTACTAAGGAACGGGTTTTTACTAGTCATGACCAAAATTACAGGTACAACTTGTTGATAAGGAACTGCTTACGGCCGATCTGACCTCATTGGTTCGTTTTAGTGGGCTCTTAATTGTTGCTTAACCTTTAATATTCTATGGATTATGATTTTGGTCAGTAGTTTCTTTACATCTTTTTTTCATTTAGGATTTTGGTATTGATGACAGATCTTTGATGAATAGACTTTTTAGGACTTTAGTATATGGAATGAACATGCACTTGCATATCATTGAAAGTCGTAACATTGACCTCTAAATGTCTTTTTGGGTTATTGTGTTTATGAGGTGTTGTCTCATTGCTCTTATCAGCACATAATTTATTCATGATCTGTATTTTATATTTCAGAGCTTTATCAACCAACGATAAGAAGAAAAGCTGTGATATACAGATTATATACAGTTCATTTTTGTATTTGTGACATAATAGCTAGGTTCATTTCTCATCAAATTATGATTCAAGGATTCTTGAATGCCTGTATATAGTTTTCAAAAAAATGCAATTAAGACGATCCCTGTTCTCGGGTGATGTTATCATGCATGTGTTTGCATAATCTAAATTATAAGATGTCTTACAGTGAAAAGAAGAAAAATGTTTACCTCTAAACCTTTTATGCATATATAAATGTAAGTTTTGTCCTTCATTTTTATGTCATTATTCACTCAACCTACAAAACTCATAAATGCAGGTTTACAAATTATTTTCTGCATTAATTGACATAAACACAAGTATGTAACAACTAAAAAGTTGAATCTAAAATGGTATACATACCTGTCCTACTAAGATTGTAGGAAAGACCATTTTATGGACGTCAGGATTTGACCTTATTTTTACGGAAATTCGGGATTTACACACTTATCAGGACTCAGGAATCAATTAATATTTTTCGGAACCCAGTGAAAGAATGCTTTATTTTTGGAGAATTCAGGATTCAGCATTATTTTTTTCTGGACTTCGTGATGAAATCCCCTTCTATCCACCCTAACCGAATTTAGAGACTGGTGTTGATGTCTGAAACTACAAAATGGCATATTTGTTTGATACATTGTTCTTTTATTTTGTTTTATAATAATTAATTTTGCTTACCTAACCGAGTCTTTATCACTTTAAATGGACTTTTCGTACCAAGGGTTATATCCACTCAGCAGTAAGTAACAATATCATTGTTAGAAAACAACACGTTGATTCGATTCAATCTGTCATAATTAGGATTAAAAATAGTTACTTTGTTTTTAAAATGATATTTGAGCACAGTTGTAGAAACTTTTGAAATTGTCGCGAGAAGGGCACTAAATATACATTCTAACCCTAACTTTAGTGTTCATGGGTTGATTTTTATAATTTAATTTGAAGTCTTACGGCATTTAGACTGTTGCAGGAATTTATTATTTGCTGAAAAATTATGTTAGTTTTACAAAACATTAAGATGCCTACTTTCGCATGCTACATTGACCCCCGTATGTCTATTTTGTTAGGTACATTGAAGGTAACCCCCAAAAATGCTGAAATTATAGAAAAGTTATCTGACCTAATAGTGGTCGTTCTGTTATAAATTTGATTCCTGATGTCTCCAGTTTGTATAAATTTATGCTACCAAAAACAATTGATTTCCCCAGTGACTGTTGTGAAAAAAATTCCTTTATATATATAGTATTACTTTTTGAAAGTTACCCTTTAGATAAATGCTTTTTCTAACGATACATTGCTGCAATATTGTGTTACAAGTTTTAGTTATTATAATATATTATGATCTTTTAACATTACTGTACATCATTATTTAATTTGTATATATTATATAGTTTTTTTTATCTGTAAAAACAAAGTTTCAAATAATTACGCATAAGTTGATTTTGTTTTAAGCATCATTTTTTTTTATTGTTGACACTGTCTGATATTGTTACATTTCAATGTTTGTAATTCGTGCATTGTCTGCTGGCAGACATCATATATAATACTGTTGTGACTCTCTCATCCATTGTTACAATTATTAGCCTTTAAAAATATTTTGTTCTATAAATGTTGCTTTGTTACTAACTTGTTTTACCTTGAATTAGAGCTAATGATGAATGATACTACATTCATGCATTTTATTTACACATGTTTTTCACATATAGCTGTTTTTGATAATGCTTTTTTCACATGTAGCTGCTTTTTATAATGCGAGAACATTGAAAATGTTTTTAGTTTTTGAACAATTGATTTACTAAGTCCTTTTGTCTAGTAGTCAGCACTTCTTTGTTGACATGAACTATCATTGATATGGTCATAATTACAAATTAACTCTATACAAAACAAGAACTTTTCGAAATACTAAGAATAATCTACCACAGAAATAGATTACCTTAGTTGTATTTTTCAAAACCTTTCGGAATTTGGATCCACAATGCTCTTCAACTTCGTTCTTTATTTGGCCTTTTTCTTCATTCGAGTGTCAATGATGAATCTTTTGTAGACGCAACGCGCGTCTTTAGTACAAAATTTTGAGCCTGATATCTATGACGAGATGACGATATCCATGATAGAAAATGAATTGCAGATATATGTTAAGTATTCGCTTTCACTTTGTTAGATCCTTCGTGGATAGTTGTCTCATTTTCACTAATACCTCATCTTATTATAGAAAGACTGATGCACATCCATTTTAGTGTACTACGAATTGATGTTTGTTTTCACGAACATCCTACAAAATCGGGTTCATATCAGTTTAGCATATTCTTTAAACATGTTAAATCTTGTTTGTTTAATTTCTACTTAAAGCAAATTTCATTCAATTTAACCTTGTTAAAGTTCCAGTCTACTTTGTGTTTTTGAAAATAGATGTTTTATATGGTCAATACATATTTTTATGGACAATAGGTGATGTGATGTTTGCGTCAGTGAGACACCAACTAAACAACGCAAAGAAATAAAGGACATTTGGAGGTACAATGCTGTCTTTAGCAATAAGTGTCTTTACAACATCTAAATCGCTCCGAATATGGCCAGTTTATTAATATTGGAAGGATGATAAAAGATCTGCCATCATGATACTATAATAAAGTATGGATTTACAGTTTTTAAATTTGCTTTAGAGTTCGGTATTTTTGTTATATTTTATACTTTATTATTGTCTTTGGTGAGTCTTTACATTATAACAATAAGCCAAAATAATTCAAAACGACAACCACTGGCTTGAGCCATACACATACGGAATGTGTGGGGATAAACATGTTTGTGAGTGCTCTAAGCTCACAATAACAATGGATAGTTCTAGGTGAAACAGCACGGTACTGTAAATCCAGTCGGAAAGAGCTTATCGCATTACTAATAGATAGATACTGAAGCACAAAAACAAACACAACTGTAATTAAGACAAAAGACACAAAGTGCGGATCTTAATGTAATCGCAGCTACTGAAAGCTATCAACAATTCATCTCCCTTTGCCAAGTTCGAGTTTAAACTGTCGATAAAATTCAAACATGCGATATATTGATCGACTTGAATTTATCAACATACTGTATATTAATGGTGGCATTTTATTGTTATTCTTACTTTTGATCATCTCTGCATACATTTTGGGATAACCGGTATATATAGTTAAATAGGAGGTACTTCCATCTTATGATAACATCTTTTAAGAATATTATCTATACAAAAAGCTAACAAATACTTTTGTAAAATTACTGACAAGCAAAACCTAGGATCAATAAAATGTTAAGACAACCCAAGGGCACATCGAGATAAATGTTTGATAATATGGCATCGAAAAATGTTGGCTATGACATGTATTTCGGGTGATCTACGTAACACTCTCGATATATATTCTGACTGAACAAGGAGAAAAATTAGTATTTCAAAGTTAATTACACCTTATATAAGAATGCTGGATTTTGATTGGTTGGTAGCCAGTGTATTTTTCGCATATTCTAACCTTTTTTACTCATTTCAAACGAATTTGCATGTTTTTCACCACTGCCGGTGAATTTGCCTCAAATTCCCCTCTATGCCGTGGTATTTGCCATTTTGGATATTTTTTTTTACCCTCGCGGGCTTCTTCCCGCCAAAATCATTAGAATATGACGTTACATCAAGACAGCGCTAACGCGTATAAGTACATGTATAATTCCCACGGTATTATGATAGTCTCTACTTATCCTCAAAATTATGCATAAACATGTTTATGGGTTTCAGCTGACTAGTAAAAAAATATTTCCTTTCACCAGTACAGAGAGTTTCAATCAAAATCTATTCGGTGTAATTAAACAGATATATCATGTTAAAGAGGGGTATTTGCGAAAAATACCAGTCTTGGGACCAAATTTCCCTTGCCTAGCGGTTCGGGAAATTTAACAGTCCCTCGACTGGTATTTTTCGCAAATACCCCTCCATAACATGATATATCTGTTCAAAATATACTATGACTTAAGATCAGTTTATGTTTGTTGTCCTATTCCAATGACTTTCTGGTTAAGCTTTATACGAATACGAAGTGTTAATTGACATTTGCAGACTAGAAAAATTTGAATAGTTTATCATATCATTCTTATAAACATACAAATAGAAAACTCGTATCATCTGAGGCTATCACATTTCTTATATTTGGAAGAATTCAGGCAGGAGTCACCAATGTTCATTGATCAGTAAAGAAGACATTAATAACATTGATATTATAATCAACAGAGCTAATACCATTGAACGTTATGTATTTTGTGGCCTTAATCGTTGTGAGAGGTCGTAATATGTCATCTTTTAACGTATGTGAAATTGTTAGTTGTAGTGGTAATGGAAAGTTTAAGGTCATTGCTATTTTTTTTTAGATTTAAAGTCAACTACATCTGCCAGTGTAAGATCAGCTGATCCAAAAATTTTCTAATTTATATTTATGGTCATTTTATGTAAATGTTATCTTGATACAATTTTGAATTTTTCGAAACACTAAGGTTTATCTACCAGCAAACAAAGATCGCCTTAATTAATGGTATTTGGCACTTTATCTACCAGCAAACAAAGATCGCCTTAATTAATGGTATTTGGCACTTTATCTACCAGCAAACAAAGATCGCCTTAATTAATGGTATTTGGCACTTTTTCTGAACATTTTGGTTAGCAATGCTCTTCCACTTTGTGTTTAATTAAGCTTTCTAACTTGTTCTGTTCGAACGCCTCTAATGAGTCTTGTGTAGACGAGACGCCCATTTGGCGTAACAAATTATTACAAGCCTGGTATCTTTAATGAATGTGTGCTGATGCTATAGTTCCTTTTATCTGATATTCGTATTTTCCTCCACCAAGCTATACTGAGATGGAACATTAACACAACATTAGGAAATATTCGTATTTTCCTCCACCAAGCTATACTGAGATGGAACATTAACACAACATTTGGAAATACGATTCAAACTGTTGATCGGGATGCTTCAATTCTTCGAAATCTACATGAAGGATTATAAAATCAAAAAAACAAATTCTAAGGTAAATTGTTATCCTAACTTGATTGAAATTATAGAGATTTAATCTGACCCTATGTATTACATATGTTATGGTAGCAGCAAAATAATTTATAATCGTAAAGTAATTTATTGTTCATTTATTTATAATATTGTTGACAACAGTTGTTAGTTGCAACAGTAGAATGTTCCGTGAAACTTTACATAGAAATATGAAATTGACTTCCCATAAAAATAAACAATCTTTCTTTCCTAATCATCACGTAACAAACAGTTCAAACCAAATTCAATAGCACATACCCCATCCGTTTAGAAACTAGGAAAACAAGATTTCGTCGTAGTAGTAATTGTCAATGTGTAAAAGAAGACAGTAACATCGTATGGCACTGGCTTTTGTTTTCAATCGAACGTCGTCGTCTTTCTCAACGGACACTACTGATTTTAAGGCAGTGCATCAAAACAGATGTTTCGGGTCATCTTTTTCATGGTACTGAGCCTGAAGTCCAAATTTGGGTTTTCTCCAGTTCAATTTCTAAAAGGCAGTCTCATAAGTATCACGATCAATGTACCCAAAAGATTATTTGTCTGATTTCGCTAATTTGTCGAAATTGTTTAATACTGATGGGTCATCGAATGAAACGCTTTCTGAACTATTTTCAGCTATGATGACAAAAAATTGGAATTCTTCCACCCTTTTGCTAACTGTAGAATTAAAGTTTTACATAATAGTACGTTTTTGGCTTTCGAGTACATATATTTGAAGACTTCAATGCTGAAGTGCCGATTACGTTTAATTGAATTAGATGTTTGCTTTTTGCATTTGAGAAATCTTTCTAGTTATTATCTGAAATTTTCTAGTGCAAGGATGGCGTTGAGTGTTTTTAAATATCGTAACATGAATCAAGTAGATTTGACTTCCTATTTTAGATTTTTATGATGAATACATAACTGCTGATTTATTTTCATATATCGGTAATATATGTGTGAAACTAATGGTATGAAAGAATAGCGGCTTATACTTGAAATGATCGATGGATCTTGCCTACAAAGCGTATAATGTAAAACTGTCTTGAAAATCTTTATCTCAGTAAAAACGATTTCGATTATCACCAAATATTGATAATACCATATCTAAATATGTTTGTAAATATGAAAAGATTAGAAGTGTTTTATATTACAGAAAATCGAAATAAACAAATTCATGCCGATGGTTACCGCAAATCTAAAAGGAAAGTAAGGGCTTTGAACAACTTTATGAAATTGATAGCCGAATGTCAAAATATCAACTACAATCGACTTAAATGGAGAAGTTATTTTAATTTGTTTATCAATCTCACTAGCAGGTATAAACACATCTTTTATAGAAGAGTATACTGGAGTCCAAATAGCATAACATTTACCGGTATAAAAAGTATACAAATTGTCGATTTTACTAGATCAACATTTTACGACTGTAACTACACAAATAAATAGGTTACAGAATGTGAAAATATTGTATATATGTCAGATTTCAAATGTGAAATTTTGAAGTATAAAATTCTTCATTCTTGTGAAAACTTGGTCAATTAGTAATGCAAAGTTCTTTACTTGGTGTTGGTTTAAAATATGATACCAGCGGTTTATTTCACAGAGGATGAAAAGTTACAACATATACACTTTACAGGAACATCTTTTCGACAAAAATTTTATATTTTTACATTTTAAAATTGTTTAAAAGGCTTGTATGCTTTATTTTCTTTCCTCCTATACATTTCTAGGAATATGATTGGTTAAAAGCGACCGCGTGGAGACCGTGTATAATCCATATGGGGTTAGTAGGTGTGGTTTATTTTAATACACGGTTAGTAATGGTGTAACGTCCTTTCACGGCGTTGAAGAAAAATCTGAAACGCTTCGCCCGGATACTAGATGAAGAAATTGATGATGAACGAGTGAAAGGAAAACACATTAAAAGCTAACAAGTTGTTATTGTTGGCATTTGTTTTTGTATAGACCAATGGAAGTAGGTTCTTTATATTGAAGACTTGATCACTTTGAATAGCCACTAGTCTAAATGCCACATGTTAAGAAAGTCGATAAGATAAATTCGTTACATAGTTTGCAGTTTACTGACCCCATATATATTGTATTAAGTCACTAGCACACTATGTTACTATTAAAATAAGAAGGAAATTTGTTCAAGAGTATTCCAATGAAGATTTCGATATTTGAAAAATCAATTTGCTAAATCTTAAAACAAATGAAATATCTTACATGAAAAATACAGAAATCAGTGATATTGAACGATATAACAAAAAGTCCAGAATTAGTAATACATGTACATGGAAACCCGTTTGTATGTAACTTTAATTCTTCAAAATTTGTTGAATGGCTATTTATCACTTTATTACAAGTAGTTTAAAACGGTAATCATTATTGTGTCTATGTTACAGACAATTTCAAGAGTTACAAATTCACTGTACTAATGCTTAAATATGCTTATGTATTGGAATTCTATATCCAGTCAACCGTGACCAAAACGATAAACTACTAGAATATAATGCTCATGTAGAATACAAGTACATCGATTACAAAAGGGTTGTTGGTCCTTTGCAGTAAATTTCGAAAGGTAAGAGAATTGTTAAGCTTATATTATGTCCAATGGCTTTCCTAAACGACATTAGGTCAGTTCGAGCTTGATAGGGTATCGAATATTAAAGAGTAAGAAAAGTTGCTATTAAACATAAATATCTGTAGAAGTAGGGAAAATGCCGAATTGTTTACGACTTATATGGTATAAGCTTATTACTCTCGATGCAAATGATACTATTCGATATACAAAAGCATCAAAATTAAAAGAAACGCATGTTTTCTGGAAAAGGGTGAAGAAAGCTATGAGGCGTTGATACTTCTTTGTTAAGTTATTTTTTGTAATTGTAATATCTTTTTCCCCTGAAAATAAAAACTATCAATGCATATAATTTGTAAGGAAACCAATATTTTCGAGTACATTTAACTCAGTAATTCGGTTTTTGACTGTTTAGATTTTAATTGAATCAATTTAATATACATGAAATAAATAAAACGGAATACAAACAAAACATGATACATAATTATTTACATATGACAGTAATATAGGTATTACATGAACTGTGCATTAATACTGTTAATACTGAGATAAAGTTCATGTATATCGTTCCTTTTGTCATCCCTACATAACGATGAATAAATGTCATGAAACAGAAGTTCCTTTATAATACAAAATCCAGCTAGAATAAATATTCTGGAGTGTTATTTCCCCTGGAATAAATATAACAGTAATTGTTCCTAACAGAATAAAGAGTATGGAATATTTGTTCCAACAGGAACATATATTATGGCATTGTTTATAACAGTTTCCAGGAGAAATTATGTTAGGCGGAACACTATACATTGACACCCTAACTATTGTAATGCATATATCGTATAAATATGCTTATATCCGTAATATTACTTTAAACGTAAAGAGGGAAGTTGATACAGTTTTAAATACAAGTGTCAGTTTTGTAATTACGAGATACTAGTATTGTGTGTGTGACGATTCGATAATTTCATTGAAATTGTCTTTCGTCTTCTGATGTTTAAAAGATGGCATTTTTGGTAATAAATATCCAAATTAGTTTTATCATAAAGCTCGGATAAATGCGCATTAGGGAACAATAAAATTAACTGTCAGCAATATTAATTCGTTCAATACAAAAATTTACGCATTTCATTGAAACCTGGTAACTTTGCCAACCATAAGTGAGCAAATTTACAGTGTTGTTGTATTTTCCTTGAAAAAGGGAATGTTGCTTAATAGTTAAGACTAATAGTATAAGATGTTGAAACTATACTTTTTCCAATTATTCAGACTTGTTGCGAATTGTTTATGTACAATAAGTTTACAGACGTTGGACGGCGGAGACCAGTACAGGAAAAATATTATAATGACAATTTCCACATTCCACAAGTAATGAATTTGTTTTTCGCTTTGAGTTCACAACATTACCCGTATTTGAAATAAATTTTTCGATCCATTATAGTCTAAAGAATTCCTTTGTTGAGGTAGTGTAGGGAGAGACAATATACTAACCTTATCTTAATGATATCCTTTAACGATACGAATTTGAAGAATATTGTACAAATTGTCATTTCAATGTCTGCTGATTTTGTATCTCAGAGCAAATAAAATGTTTAATTGTCGATTTAGAAGAAAACATTACACCCATATTGAAAGAATTAACATTTATTCTTCTCTCTTAAAATGAAAAACGTCAGTTCTCTAACTACTTTTAAAAGGATTTTATTTAAATATGGATCACATAAATATGATTATAAATTATGTCCTGTTTGAGAGAAGACTGTAAATAAATGATTTACTTTCATGTTGAGGGTTCGTCGGACATTTTGACGAAATTTGATCACTTCATAACTTGTGTTTCTTGCCACTTTGATACTTAGAGACTTATATATTTGAATGCATGTACTTCACCGCTATACGTAATTTACGACTGTGGAATAATGGTATTATGGAAACTGTGAAAAGTGTACAGTCCAGATACATAGTATGGCTATCCTATATTTTAAATGGAAGTACAATATCCCATGATAGTTCGCAATACAAATGACTCTCGTATTTTATCAATCTCCGCCAATAAACATGCACACACCACCAAGCAAGACAAAGGAAATCAATCCTAAACTGCACATGGCCAATGCAAATTTCCAAACAACATCGAGACACTCTGTAGAATTCTTATCTGCCGAAGCACCATATACCAACCCTGAAAATAAGAAATGACACATTACTTACAATTTTTTATTCATCTCATGGATACACAGCTATTATGTATTGTTCTATCATTGATGTTGTCTTTAGGTTGTTTTTTTTAAATTTAAATGCAGTTGGGGGAGGGGTAGTCATTTGTCTATTCTAATCCTGTCTGTTCAGTCATTTTCATCAAAAAGCATGGTCGCATCTCTCTTACTTTACATTTAAGCCACACTTCTCCAAAAACAAAAAGTAAACTAGCTCTGATACATTCCAAGGGATATATTTATTTCATTTGATTCTACATCATTCACATGTTCCAAAAAGCATGGAAATTAAAATTATTTGTAATGTGGGAAAGTGTATCATGAAATTATATATATATATAAATATATTACTAAAAGCAAATTTGTATGTATGATTTATTTATAATTCAGTCCAAGATGTTCTCAGTATAAACAAATGTGGCGTTTATTTATTGATATATTCAAGAAAATCGACCAATTTTTACTGAAAGGAATATTTTTTTAGACCCTCGCTGAACAATCATTACTAAAGACCTTGCAAATGTTAAACAGCAATTGAAATGAAAGGTTCGTTGATAAATGTCTTACTTTTTACTTTTTTTATATACAGTTTTACTATATGCGTTCTTTTACCAATTTCATTTTATGCATTGAAAAACAATCTTATATTTTATCCGGTTTCTTTAGTTATAATATCTTAATGTTCTGTTCTTTTATGGAACTTCTAGATCGTGGCATCTTCTCCCTTGAATCACGTGTGTCTTGAATCACTTGCGTTGATGGCAGATTTATGAAAGTTGCTGTTAAAATTAATTTTTTTTAAACCAATCAATTAAAATATTGACACTTGGCAATTGTTGAAGATCTCTAGATGACTTTTTGATTTTGATTTTTTTGCATTTGTGTTGCTTTCTCGTTGAAGTATACCCCGTGTCTTCTTTTATTCATATTTCTGAAATTAATATGATTTCATTTAGAGGGTAGTTTTCAATTGAAGCAATTGTTCTGGCAATGAAAATATTCATATTTTGTAAGTTGTTCATATTCTAATCGTGATTCAATGTTTTCTTCATGCACTTTCATTACGTTAAAGTGGTGGAATTTCTCACAGCTGTATTAAAATTTTCATTTGAAAAAAAGCGCTTCCACATTTTCAGAGAATACCTGGTAGTGTACTCCAAACAGCATTATAATATAATATTTTTCTTATTAACATACCAACAAAGACAAAAACGAAAAACACAAAGGACAAAGCTCCAGTGATTCCATTGACACACTTGACTGTTTCCTTGCTCCCTTCACACCGAAAACTTTTGTAACTACTCCAGAGTGTGTTTGAGAAGAAAATCATGACAGCATCAAACAAGCCAACCAGTCCGGCAGCTAACAGAAAGAACGGTAGTCTATAGCCTTCGTGGGGACAATCCGAAGCATATACTTAAGCTAAATATCAAAAAATGAAAGATTATCTTTTTTCTTCTTTTTCATAAAACCTTACTGCATGTCAATGAATATGTTTTAATTTGTGTGGTTTCAAATCTATTTATTAGGGAATTTACAATTTCAGATTATTGATTATTTTTTTAATGTGTTTTTACTTTCAATTCTTTTCTTTTTAATTGTGCTTGCTGAATACACACATGTCGTTCCTAACTTGAAACCACAAACATATATACATACTTCAGTGGTTGTCGTTTGTTGATGTGATTCATAAATGTTTCTCGTTTCTCGTTTTTTATATAGATTAGACCGTTGGTTTTCCTGTTTGAATGGTTTTACACTAGTATTTTTATGTTATGCTGTCATAGATATAAGAAGATGTGGTATGAGTGCCAATGAGACAACTCTCCATCCCAGTCACAATTTGTAAAAGTAAACCATTATAGGTCAAAGTACGGCCTTCAACACGGAGCCTAGGCTCACACCGAACAGCAAGCTATAAAGGGCCCCACAAATGACTAGTGTAAAAAATTCAAACAGAAAAACCAACGGTCTAATCTATATAAAAAACGAGAAACGAGAAACAATATGAACAACATCAACAAACGACAACCACAAAACATCAGGTTCTGACTTAGGACACGTGCAAACAAATGCAGCGGGTTTAAACATTTTAATAGGCGCCAACCTTCACCCTACCTGAAAAAATAGTGTAACAAAAACAAGAGAACATACACTGAACGAATAAATTTGATCTATGACACAATGTAAATACAAAATAAATAAAACAAGGGGGTAAGTTATAAAACAATATCAGAAAGACAACCTTATAAAAATAATATACTCGTATATCATCATATTTAAAACAAAGTATAAGAAGCCATTTCTTTAATTGAAGTGTAAAGAACTTGAAGTAAATGGGTCGAATAAAACTGAAATAACACAACATTTGCATGTAAATTTTATCATTTCGGTTACCTTCTTTCATTTATAAGTCGAATTAAGACAATCGAGCTGAATATGCAATCAATTTCATCTCGTTTTTACTACATTTTGATTTTGTTTTCTTATTTGAAGCTGTAACTAGCTAGACATTCATTAAGTCAAATCGGAAAAAAGTCTTACCTATTCAATGTGGAAAGAGGTGCTTGAAATATAATTGAAATATCGGACATGTAGCTATAGGGTTGAAACCCGCGACTCTTATAATGCGTTGATTAAAATATGTCATACAAATGTGCACAAAAGTTAGAGGATGAATTTGAAGACCTTTCCTGGAAAATAAGTCAAAAGATTCAATCGAAAATAAAAAGTAAGATGGAATAGTCCGTCATCGTAAAGAATTGTGGTATCCTGTTAGAGGAACAAAGGCTCCGTTCCGTGTAGATCTTTGATACCTTACCCACAGCTATACTGGATACAGAAAAACAAAACAGCACCAGAGCTTGAACTAAAACGAAATATGAAGTATTAATAGTAAATATGTAACCATTTACACGAAGATATAAAATATGTGTTACATGAGGACAAATGACAAATCAAACAAAACAAATGACAGAATAGACAAGAAACTAATAACAAAAATATACATTTTATAGGTAACAAAATGGTTATTATGTGTCAATAAAATATGATCGAGTTGACAGTGCATGAACTTCAAATTTCAATTTTATCATTTATTAAAATCGATTTCCTTTATACCCGGTATTACATATTACATTCTCGATATTTAATATGACGGAAAGTAAATTAGGTTTTTCCAGATTTCCATGGAGATACCTTTTTATTTTCTTCTGATTACTTTATTTTCTTCGGCTACTTTTTTTCTGAAATGTCGCTTTTGTTTTGCAACACGTCGAGCGATGTGTTTTCATTCGAATATCGATCTTTCGAAATTGTGTATTTACTTGTAAACACTTTGTTTTAAAACTCACTTTTTGTGATATTTTGATATACATGTATTTCTAGTTTACAAGTTTACAAGTATCCTGAAGAATTGAATATTATAAAAAAAAAATCTGTCTTGATCACCATGATTGTTCGACTTTTTGTTGAATATTTTGTCTTAGATCAAGGCGACAGTATTTAGCCGGTGTTCAAATCTCGTAAATCAATGAAGAAGAGACAAATCAAGGGAACAAACAAACTCTGAGGGATTCTCATAAACTCCAAAGGGAGAGAGACTGAGTGCGTCGAGAGGGTAATCCACCCTCAGTCATAAAATGTCACACTTGACAATTGAGAATAGGACACAGGCAGTAAAATCAAAGATCAGACGACTATACTGGCATCTAAAGATTTAAGAACACGTAAACTTGTGTCTAGTGAGACATGTAACACAAGCCCAGGTTGGTCAGGCAAAACAGTAAAACAACAACAATAATCATTGTTTTACATGAAAGTATACCCTCCATTAGTTATGTTGGTATCAATAAAACATTTAAGAATTGAATGCGTATTTTTATAATTTTATTGTGACGACCATACTATAAATGTGAGCACGAAAAACGCTTTTACAACCATATAAAATCTAAAAAAGACGAATTCAATTCTTATAATTACGTTATTTTTTAATTAATGTCATTAGCCTAAATCTGGCCGTTAGTTTAGTTCAATTGTACGTTTTCACATTTGTTCATACGGGGACTTTTTAGCTTTCCGCTATACGGTTTGGGTTTTGCTAAATGTCACAGGCTAGCGAGATTGATATAAAGATATAAGGCCAAGATGTGTAACACAACTATCCACCAGAACCCAAATGAAAAGGATGTAAACACAGTACAGTTCATAGTACGACGGACTATACGGCTTTCAACATTTAGCAAAACCCAAACCGTACAGAGGAAAGCTAAAAAGTCCCCGTATAATAAAATGTGAAAACGTACAATTGAACGCTAGACTCAAGCTTGCAGCCACTCGCTAGCAGCCACTCCGGTAGCAGCCAGCTTTCAGATATTATAGACATATCTGAAAACTGGCTGCTAGCGGAGTGGCTGCTAGCGAGTGGCTGCTAGCTTGAGCCTAGCATCAATCTCATGTATTTTTGTGTGATTAACATAAATAGCTCTTAACAAAAAAAAAAATGTTTTTTATATACTGTATCATTTATTGTTGAAAAAGATATCCACAAATTCTACCCACCAAACAAAGCTTTCCTCCAACATTCTCCAAACTGACAGTAGTCCGCCATACTACATTCAGTTCAATAACTGACCGTCAATCTTATATACTTCCTAGTTAAAGTGAATTCTCCGAAGTAAACATTGGTTCCAAAGAATGCATTTAAACAAACTTTATAGATTTAAATAACTATAACCATTAAAATTCAAATACCGTTCTAAATGTACTCATATGATATCGATTGGTATACATACACTATAATTAAGTATATTTTAACATTGTATGGGTGATAAAGAGGGTTCATTAGGAGGGGATTTATTCAAAATGAAAGAACAAATGAAGAATGATGTTGTGAAAATATATATAGACAATTAACTGTTAGAGAATTTTGATGGAGTTTTAAAACAAAGAGCATAATAAATAATTAAGTTCATAATATTGAAATATTTGATGCCTGCAAATTAAATACAAACAAAAAGTCAATCATTATGGCTTCATAAAAACAGCGGTATAAAAAATGACAAACGCTTATAGACTGACATGTGTCAAATCTATTGAACTTGTTTGAATAGGTCAACTGTTCTGCATTTCAAGATTACTAGGTACGGGTCAATAAATGGCCCAATGAATTTCCAAGTTTTGAAGAGGATGAGAACTGAAGGAAGTTTGCACTAGAGCCTACATTATTGTGTATTATATGTGTCTGCTTGCACTGGCCAAAAATAAATGTATGTATAACTGGAAAAAATCGAATCATGAAATAAGAAACATAATATAATTGTTATTATTATATTGATTCTGAAACAATAAACTGGCCATAGAAAATGACAAAAAAATCCTCATTCTCATAATTCTACTGGCTACAAGAATCATAAAATTATAATTTCACTAGACAATACAGAAATCTTTCTATTTTCGTTTCCCTTCTCCAACTTTAGTTTGCCTCAACCAAATATTATGAAACTTATACACAGTGCTAATTACCATAAAACACAGATCAAGTTTGAATTTGGGTGGCGTCACTTTTACAGTTCTGTAGTTATAAAATTGAGAATGGAAATGGGGAATGTGTCAAAGAGACAACAACCCGACCATAGAGCAGACAACAGCCGAAGGCCACCAATGGGTCTTCAATGCAGCGAGAAACTCCCGCACCCGGAGGCGTCCTTTAATGTCCATTTATAACGTTATGTGCAATGGGGGCATCATCTTCGTCCCGTGGACACATTCTCCATTTATCTTATCATAATTTGGAGAGATCAACTTTGTACTTCCAATTTCAATATAAAAAACTGAGCAACACAAACCCCAGCAAACTGGGATGATCTCCGGTGCTCCAAAAGGGTAAGCAGATCCTGCTCCACATGTGGCACCCGTCGTGTTGCAGCACCCGGTAATATGTCTAATTATCTGCCCTTAATTTTAAAAGGAATTTTTTTTCTGAAAATTGTAATACACTTATTGACACTTAATTTTTTGATAGTTTAATCTTTTAATTTCAAGTTTTAGATGATTCTGTTGTATATTGAATGATACTTGCAAAATGTTTTTAAACTAAAAAAGTTTTTTTTTGCAACATACCCATAAGGTATTCTCAGAAAAAGCAACCCGATCTACCTTAAGGGTAGTCTTAGGTGAGTTACGCCACTGTGTAAAGAAAAATATTGTCCTATGAAATATTGTCCCCCAAGACAATATTTCATGACTATATATCATCAAATATTGTCCTCATCTATGAAAAAATGTCCAGAGAAGGACAAATTTCCATTATGAAATTTTGTCTGTGTATAGACAATATTTCATAGATGAATACTATGAAATTTTGTCCTTTTAAAGGGAGGTTATATTTTGTGTATATTGAGACAATATTTCATAGACAGATTGACATGAAATTTTGTCTTCACGAAAGGGAGGTATTATAGAAAAGGATATTACAGTTACTCCTGTACCCCAAAAACGCCGTTGCAAAACGATTCGTCAATCTAGTATTTACGAATACTACTATTAGAACATTCAATTTTGAACATATATAAAGTGATTGTCAGTACATAACTTATATCTATACAGTATAATGTAGTACAATGGAACATAGGTAAGACAATTCTTTAATATATTTAAAACCATTTATAAAGTATCTATGCAAATTTGAAACTAGCTTATGTCTAAAATAAATATTTGTTTGAAATATAAAATATATACTTGCTTTACAAAATAATTTCAGTTATAAGTCTAAATATGTGCATGCTTCATGCTTGTGAACTGTTTTTAATTTTGTAATAATTTGATTAAGAAATATTTTCATGGACAGTATTTCACAGTGAAATCATGATTGTCATCAGAGACATATAATACAATTGTATTATATGTCTCTGTTGTCATGGACAGAATTTCACAGTGAAATAATATCATATAGACAGTATTTCATAGTGAAATATAGTCATGGACAGAATTTCATAGTAAAATATTGTCCTGAAGGAAATGACAAAATTTCATGGACAAGGACACTATTTCATAATGAAATATTATCCTGGACAGTATTTCATTATGAAATAATGTCTACGGACAATATTTTATATGAGGGGGCGGACAGGGTAAAGGGAGACAGGGAGAGAGGGTGGGAGAAAGGAGAGAGGGGGCGGGAGAAAGGAGAGAAGGGGGGGAAGGAGAGAAGGGGCGGGAGAAAGGAGAAAAGGGGGTAGAAAAGGGAGACAAAAATGTATATGAAATCTATTAAAATTTGGCTGGAAAACAATTATTTTATTAAATTAGTTAATAAAAAGCTTCAAGAAAGTGCTATAATAAAACGTAAATTAACAAAAATACCTAACTAGGAGGAAAATTAAAAACGAAAAGCCAAATGGCAAAATCAAAAGCTCTTACACATCAAACGAATGGATAACAACTGTCATATTCCTGACTTGGTACAGGCATTTTCTTATGTAGAAAATGCTGGATTAAACCTGTTCAGTTTTATAGCTAGTCAAACCTCTCACTTGTATGACAGTCCCATAAAATTCCATTAAATATTATAGTAACGGAAACGACCTATTGTCACTAATTCATAACGATCTCTTATATACCAAGATGGTATAAATACTAACAATTTCCAGGATTTTATAGTGAGTCCGATCATTATAGAGTCACATGTCATCATCCTTGTTTTTTTAGATAAATTGCTTCAAAGTTGACCGATATGCATAGAATTTGGCAGAAAAAAGATGACGTTACTGAATATAAAGTAACGTTATTTTTACTCGGAGGTATTAAAAAAAATATGTAACGGGATCTGTATGGTGTTTGTTATTTTGTTTTCATTTCCCCTATCTGGTTTCCTAAATTTCCTATTTATTCTACTAGAAAAAAAATCTTAATCCTACCAAACTAGACAAAGGTAATGCCACCGCTACTTCCATGCATGGATAAAGTGCTTCAAAAATTTGATTAAGTAAACAGTGATTTTCAAGTACAATTTGAATTGATTGATTTGAGGCTGCAAAATGTCCGGTGGCAAATATTTCAGGCATGTTCAGGACGACACAATACAATTTGAAAACTGTATTCAAAAATACAAGTTCAACATTCTGTCATTCTGTCATTTTTGGAAAATTATACAATAAAAAAATCCTGAGAATATACATGCATTCTCTACAAGTAAAACACTAGGCGCATTATAAAAGTCCCACTTTGAAATTGTACACCGTAGAAGCAGTAAGTCGGACTATGTGCTTTACGTGCCTTTATATATTTTCAAAATGCCAAATTTAGCAACCTGTCGTTTAAAAATAAAACTGACAATATGCGCACTTTTGGTATATATATATACTAACACTGTGTACATAATGTAAAGTTGAAGCTAAAATAGAAATATAGCACTAAGAAATAAGTTGTGTAAACCCTAAAGCTATATACGAAGTGAGAGACGGGCGGTCAAATGGACACGGGTAAAACAGTATGCTCCCGGCATTTTGTCGAGGGACCGAAATATGTATTAAGCGTATTAAGATTATGTTCTATTTTACAAGGCATTTGGTGACAAAATATATTTTTGAATAGTTCATAATGGAATGTAATTGGGAAATCTCTAGTGTACATCAAGTCCAACGCAAACAAAAAAACACACTCATCCCTTCATACACACAAGTGTAAATCAACATATGAATCTAAATCGAGAGAAATAACATTCCTGTACACAATCGGCGCAAATGAAAGAAAAAATCGGCGCAAGTGAAAGAAAAAATCGGCGCTAGTGAAAGAAAAAATCGGCGCAAATGAAATGCAGATCGGCGCAAATGCAAAACGACACTTTTGTGGGTTTACCTTCATCAAAGCACCGATTATTCATTTATTGTTGGCCGCTGTTTTTTTAATGAATCGTGTGATTGTAAATATCGAGAAATAATTTGTTTTGAAATCGGAATTGAAAGAAAAATATATAATGGGATCTGAATGATCTAATTTTATTTCGTCCCAATGGGTGCACATTAAGTGTTGACATCCCAAAATGTCAAGCCTTTGTTAACTTTTTCCACAATCCGAAGTTGCTGTCCCGTGTAAAATGCGCTTATACGATTACAGTGTTGGCAATTTATTTTTTACAAGCTTTACATAGCATAGGGAAAGTTGTGCGGCAAAATAACCAAATTCAAAGACAATTTAATTATTCTTCTTTGTTTATCATTCCATTCTAACAAACAATTTTATCATTAGCTGCTTGTACTATGCATTTTAGCTAAATTATATCTATTTTGCAAGCAGCGTTTTTCGGCAAATATTTTCAAACGAATGGGTTTCTTAACGAAATTGCACAAATAGTGACACAAAATTCCTCGTATTTTCACACATTATCCTGCGTTTCTATAATTTGGATTTATACTTTAAAAAAAATCATCAGGAAACGGCGTGCATCAGACTAACAAATTCAATGCAAACAGACAGCTTAACAGTCAGTGAAAAAGTTATTGAGGTTTCTTGAAGCAGAAGAAACAACACTTCTGTCTTGTGGAAGGACAAGACGGGGACGAGCCATATAAAACAAGACATTTGATCGATTTATTTTAAAATGAGCTTCCTATACATAAGTTTTTCATGTTTTAGGGCGGGAGACAAGAAAAAGGGGACTGGAGAAAGGAGAAGAGGGGCGGAAGAAAGGAGAGGGGGCGGGAGAAAGGAGAGAAGGGGCGGGAGAAGGGAGAAAGGTACCCCCCTGTCCGCCCCCTCTTATATGAAATGTTGTCCGACAAATATTTCATGTTACAACTATTTATCCGTTTCAATATTGTTAAGATCAGTGATATAAAATCCATGTATTTGATTTCTTTTCTCGTTCTATGTAGGGTCAGACCGTCTCCTGATCATGATGAAGATTTGTAAATTCTTGCTATTCCGTGATGAAAGGATTCTGTGCCGAAAAAGGTACGGGCCGAGTTGGTATCTAAGTTATGTCCCTTCCAAAATGGATGCGCCCATCACAATTTCATAGAGTTTCAGATTTTAAAATATTTAAGCACATATTGCTGAATAGTGATTTATAACCACAAGCACAACAAGGCTGGGTTATTTTAAACTAACACAGACGACTGAATGTTTAGGCTCTTTCAACTAACGTGAATGAAACTTGTATTTTCTTTATGCACATTCATAAATGGAAAGAGGAATACTTCAACTGTATTGTTAAATTGCATAAGAAATCTTAAACAGTCAGACACATTTATATCAACAATGTCAGATTTAACAGCATCTAAGCAAACCACAGATGAAGATGGTGCTATCCCAGAACCTGTTCTCTCCAAAAGAGCACAAAGAAAGCAGAAGAGGGTAAACAGATGTTTATGTTAAACAATCTGATCAGGGGACAACAATTTAATATTCTGGGGCGGGTCAGGAGGATTTTTGTGGTTTGGTTGAATATTCATTTTCATCTGCTGCTAAGACTGCTTATTTTTTTCCAAGGCTTCGTTGCTTGATAATTTATTTTCACTTTTGTACACAATTATTTCCTGCATTTTGTGTTGTAGAATATTCGTTTTTATCCTGTCTTGGGCAAGATCATTTATGTTCAGTTGTTACCAAGCCAGGATATTAATTTTATAAATCTTTATTGCCTCTATCAGCAAATCAAATGGTCCTTCCCTTAAGTCAGCATGACTGTTAGTATAAAATTGAGAATGGAAATGGGGAATGTGTCAAAGAGACAACAACCCGACCATAGAACAGACAACAGCAGAAGGTCACCAACAGGTCTTCAATGCAGCGAGAAATTCCTGCACCCGGAGGCGTCCTTCAGCTGGCCCCTAAACAAATATATATACTAGTTCAGTGATAATGAACGCCATACTAAACTCCAAATTGTACACAAGAAACTAAAATTAAAAATAATACAAGATACATGTATTAATGTAGTAAAAAATATTATAAAAATAAAATTGATTACATAAAGGTTTATTATCATTTTTAGAGTGTTTTAAGTATGGTAATGTATAATGGGGATTTTGTTGCATTTGAGAGATTAAGGCAATTTGAGGTTCCTAGGTGTTTATTGATGTACACCCTCAATAAAGTCCATCTCTTTTGTCTTGATTCCAATATCCTGAGTATAAAATATATTAAAATTGCTTGTCATCAGTGGTTGTAGTTTGTTGCTGTATATCATAATTGTTTTTACACTTATTGTTAAGTTCTGAAATCAGGCTGTAAGGTTTCTCATTTGAATTGTTTTACTTTATATTTGTCATTTTGGGGCCTTTTCAAATACTGGTTATATTAATGGTGATAATCATGAAATTATAATGTTACTTTTAGTGTCAAATGTACATCTTTTGGAATATCATTCAAGCGAAACTGAAAAAAAAAATATCCCTACAACTATCATGACTATGACAACATACACATAATACACTTTCACAAGTGATGCATACGAGTAGAGATGTATATCATCATGTTGATGATACACTTTCACAAGTGATGCATATGAGTAGAGATGCATATCATGTAAATAGGACAGTAACTTGTAAAATTTGAATTTACCAAAAGAGATCAGACAGCACAATAGTCCAATCATCCTCTTTGCAAGTGATCATTTCTAACATTAAATTATACATGTATCATTGATTTTTTTTCTTTTTATACATGTGTATTTTTAATATACATGTATGTATGTAGTGACGTTGTACATAAAACAATTTTCTCATTATTATATATTTTTAGCTTTTTGCCAAAGAAAGAAGAAAAGAGATGAAAAAACTAACAAAAGGATTAACAAATAATAAAGATCCAGGATTTGACAAAAGCCTGTTTGATGCTGCAGAGTATTATTTTGAAAATGGTAATAAATTCATACCTATATATATAATATACTTGTGTACAAAACAGATTTCCACATTCATCAGTGTTCACCAAAGAATGAAAATCAATGGTGGGGATAGATGTCAACAATTCACAGAGGATGTGTCCTGTTTGTTCACATTCCTCCTTGGGCATGTTGGGCGTAAATTTGTCTTTAGAAATTTTAAATACATCTTTATCAAATTGCAAAATATGTATATTTATATCAAGGATAATAAAACATAACAACACAGTAAACACAATTGTCATTTTGAGGTTAAAGTACTCAAAAATATGTCTAAGATGTGGTGTTTAAATGTTTCTACTGTCTATGTCTTCATTCAGCTCACCATGGTCTTGTCTTCTGTTGGTAATGTTGTACCCGCAGTGGAAATTGGAATAACAAACAATATGGTAGGGTTCATGTTACTGAGTCTTTAGTTTTCTTATTTGTGGTACATATACTATTATTTGTCTTTTGATCGTTTTTTTTTTCTTGGCAGTTTTTTTCGTCTATAAAGGGATCATAGATTTATTCTAATGAGCAAGCATGCTCAGAGCTTGCTGGGAGCTTTTTAACATGTTTAAGTAGGCTCTTCTCAGCAGTTAATGTGACAATAATTATCATGATCCATTAAGATGTCAATCAAATCTACACCACTTCTATGATAAGGAAAGTAGAGCATTATAGAGGAAGCTCCATAAACACCATAGGCGGATCCAGGGGGGGGGGGCTTGGGGCCCCCCCTTTGTGGGAAAAATTTGGTTGATTATACAGGGAATCACTGAAGCATGACTGGAGCGGGCCCCCCCCTTAGGTCAGTCAGCTGGCCCCCCCTTATGAAAAGTTCTGGATCCGCCACTGAACACCTGTGTAAACATCTGGTCTATTCAAATACATTTTGCATGAAATTTTACAAAACTATAAAATAGATTAGAAATTCTTCAACAGTGCTGTGTAATGCTTGGAAAGAAATCTCAAGTCTCCACAAAAGTAAAAGTCAATTAAATATTTTCTTATTATATTTAATAATCATTCCTTTTTTTATAATAACAAATTCTCAAATTTTATAATTAGATGATATGATTTAAAAATAGTTTATATTATATAATATGCTACATAAAAGTTATCAAGACACAGACAACAGTCAGGTGGCGATACCAAACAAGTAATTTTTTTTAGTCACTTTTATCAGTATTTTTTGTTTTTAACAAGAGTGCACACGCTGAAATGTCTCGCCTACTATACTAACCACTGATTTTATGTTGATAGTCCTACATTTAAAGTTTTACTACAAGTATCACATTAAGATTTATGATCCAAAAAAATGAGGTCAAAGTCAGATAAACCAAGCCAGAAATACCAGGGGCGGATCCAGCCATTTATAAAAGGGGGGTTCCTAACCCAGGATAAAGGGGGGTTCCAACTATATGTCCCCATTCAAATACATTGATCGTAAAAAAAAAAAGGGGGGTTCCAACCCCTGGAACCCCCCTCCTGGATCTGCCACTGAATACATGTACACCTTTAATACAATCATTCCATACACATAATATAGATAACCTATTGCTTATAGTATAAAAGAAACAAACCAAACCATGGAAATTCTATAGTGACCAATGAACCATGAAAATGAAGTCAAGGTCAGATGAACCCTGCCAGACAGACGTGTACACCTTAAAATCATTTCATGCATCAAACATAGTTGACCAATTCCTTATAGTATCTAAGAAACAAAGTTAACCAGGAAAACTGAACATTGACCAATGAACCATGAAAATGAGGTGAAGGTCAGATGATACCTGCCAGACAGACATATACACCTTACTATCATTCCATACACCAAATAAAGTTGACCTATTGCTTAAAGTTTAAGAAAAACAGATCAAAACACAACAACTTAACATTGAGCAATGAACCTTTAAAATGAGGTCAAGGTCAAATAAAACCTGCCAGACTGAAATGTACATCGTAAAATATTTCCATACACCAAATATAGTTGACCTATTGCTTAAAGTTTAAGAAAAACAGACCAAAACACAAAAACTTAAAATTGAGCAATGAACCGTGAAAATGAGGTCAAGGTCAAATAAAACCTGCCAAACTGACTTGTACATCGTAATATATTTCCATACACCAAGTATAGTTGACCTACTGCATACAGTATTAGAAAAACAGACCAAACACAAAAACTTAATATTGAGCAATGAACCTTGAAAATGAGGTCAAGGTCAAATAAAACCTGCCAGACTGATATGAACACCGTAAAATATTTCCTTACACCAAATATAGTTTACCTATTGCATACAGCAATAGAAAATCAGACCAAAACACAAAAACTAAACTAAAACCACTCAACCATGAAAACGAGGTCAAGGTCAGATGCCCCTGCCAGTTGGACATGTATACATTACAATCATTACATACACCAAATATAGTAGACCTATTGCTTATAGTATCTGAGATATAGACTTGACCACGAAAACTTAACCTTGTTCACAGATCCATGAAATGAGGTAGAGGTCAAGTGAAAACTGTCTGACAGGCATGAGGACCTTGCATGGTACGCATATACCAAATATAGTTATCCTAATACTCTTGATAAGAGAGAAATTAACATTACAAAAAATCTGAACTTTTTTTTTAAGTAGTCACTGAACCATGAAAATGAGGTCGAGGACAATGGACATATGACAGACGGAAACTTCATATCATAAGGCATCTATATACAAAGTATGAAGCATCCAGGTCTTCTACCTTCTGAAATATTAAGCTTTTAAGAAGTTAGTTAACGCCGCCGCCGCCGGATCACTATCCCTATGTTGAGCTTTCTGCGACAAAAGTCGCAGGCCTGACAAAAATTATTTAATAACTCAATAGTTATTTAAAATGTCAAATAAATCATGGACTAAATGTAGTTTTTAAGAATTTATATAGCATTTCATGAAATAAAATTAAGTATTTATCCAATTTTAGATGAGTATAGAGAGGTTACTTTAAAAAATAATGACAAAAATATTACTTTAATAAATTATTTTATACAACTTCAAAAAACTTTGTACTTAAAATTATTTAAGGAATATATGTAATTGCTTTTGATTAAGATTCAAATTATAAATAACTTCAAGTCTTAATTAAAGGTTCCATATCTAGTTATAACTGTCTATCTCTAAGATTTTAAGGGGAAATGATATTTTAAAAGCCCCAAGAGGCCAATCTTTGACCAAGAAGTGTGACATCAGAAAAGTAATTAGTGCTCGTTGAGGATTTAAATAGTTTTACCAGTATATTTCATGGGGAAAATAACCAGATGTCTGTGAAAATTTGTTAAAGCTAGTAAAACCTGTATGAATGGACATCTATAAAAATAATATTAACAGAAGTTACTTATTCATGATATAGAAGTAATATTTGAAACAGCCTCGTTTTCAACATAACTTGAATAGGTAATTTTGAAAATTACTTGTTTAAGTAATGCCCCTAACTAAACAATGGTAGTATGTTTTTTTTAAATAGCAAACTAAGTTCTTTTATAGAAAATTATGGCTACTTTAAGAAAAGTTGTAATTCATTAGTGGAAGCCTGGTTTGAGGGGGTAATACCACCATTGTTTTCCCTCTAGTGCGTCTCTCTTTACTTGACCTTTTTTTTAATTGTGCAGATTTAGCTTTGTTTTTACTGTAGAATATAGTATATTTTTATTGCTTTGAAACACCCAAGAAACATGTTTACAACTAAAAAAAACTTTTCTGCAATGAAATGGAGGGTTAATTTCAAACAAATGTCAAATTAAATGAAATATAAAAAAAGATCAACCCTTTTTCGCATGAAACTGAATGTACTATGTTTTGGTAGTATGGTTGTAAATCAATAACCATAGTTTGTGTCTTTGATGACTTTTATGTTTCATTTTATATAGTATAAATTTAAAATATATTTATATTTTAAATATAAAATTTGAGTGTTTTTTTGTATCATGTGTATTGAAAAAAGAATGATAATTATTAAGAAAATGTTTTAAAATCATTTTCTTTCTGTGAAGACTTGATACCAAGCATTGTACAGTAATATTGAAGAATTTCTCATCTATTTTATAGTTTTGTAAAATTAATGCAAGATTTGTTTGAATAGACCAGATGTTTACACAGGTGTTAATGGAGCTTCCTCTATAATGCTCTACTTTCCCTATGCTATAGATTTGATTGACATCTTAATGGATCATTATAATTATTGTCACATAAACTGCTGAGAAGAGCCTACTTAAAAAGCTCGGAGCATCCTCCGAGCATGCTAGAAGCTTCCTCGTTAGAATAAATCTATGATCCCTTATGAGTTTGAATATCCCTTTGGTATCTTTCGTCTCTCTTTTGAGTGGTCTTAATCTTATTGTAAGATGTGAGTTATATCATAACTGATTGAAGACCATTCCATTGATTGTTAAGATGAAGGACAACAATAACAGACTACTCCTTTCATACATTTGTACATTAATGTTAAAAAATAGAATTATACCTCATCTTTTTAACCAGATTTTCGAAGGAAATATCTGTTATTAAAATGTTGATGTACGGCGGGCGGGTGGGCGGATCTACGGCCGGCTGCCAAACAGTGTCAGCACAATAACATGAAAACACTTTAACAAATTTTTTTCAAATTTAAATATGTTGTTTCCAGGGACTTAATGAAGGTCTAGTTCAATTTTCAAGATATTAGTATATCTCCTTTGTGAGTTATCGCCATTTTTAAAATCCAAAAGTGGAATTTTAAAATATTTTACTCTTGTTATCTTTTTTATGACTAAGCATAATGTCTTATCTCACAATAAAAATTGGAGTGACAGATTTATTTGAAAATTATCTATTTCCTAAGTGGTAATGATTATAAGCTATACTATTTGACATTTTGAAGTTAATTACATTATTAATTATTAATTAGATCTGGGTTATATCTTAGCATATAATATCATTGGAGTGACAGATTTATTTGAAAATTTTCTGTTTCCTGATAAGATCTGTAGGACTGTATATATAAAGTTTGAAATTTACTAGTAGGACTGTATAAATGAAATTTGAAATTTACTGTTCATTATTAGACATTTTGTAGATAATTAAGTCTCCCTAAACCATATATATTCTTACCCCCACCCCTTTTTCAATTTGAGAATGTGCTTCTATCTTGTAAACGGTTGAGATCCCCACCCATAAACCTGATATATTCTTGTATGGGACAATAAAACAAATCAAATGCAATATTTGGGGAGTCCCCTGGTTCACCACCACCCCCCTACTTTTTGAAAACTTGTAAACGGTCAAGATCCCAACCCTGAAACCATATACATTCTTGTATGGGACCATAAAACAAATCAAATGGTCACCCCCACCCCCTCCTGTTTAAGAACTTGTAAACGGTCAAGATCCCTACCCCTAAACCATATAAATTCCTGTTCGTAATTTCAAGAAGATTTGAATGACATACAGGGTCAATCCATAGGCGTCACTAATGCATATCATAAACCAATTTGTACTGGACATTGCCCAATGTCAAGCGACAATGGGAATGACGAATTATTGGAGCTTTGTTTGGGAGACTTCGTAACAGCATTCTGTTACAATTATTTCTTGTTACTGATATGTTTTGTATATTTTGAAATGACATTGTATTAATGATAAATAAAATTTTGGATTTTTTTCTTCTTTTCTTTGTCAAATTGTTTGTAGAATTTTGTGGCAAGTTTGTTTGTTATTCTGTAAAAACTAATTTTCTGAATGCTATATATATATATATATATTTTTTGATGAAGTAAACTCCTTTAAAAACTAAGCTTATATTGTCTATTAATAAACATATATTTAGATTTCTGATTTTGGGCCCAGTTTTCAAGTTGGTCCAAATTTGGGTCCAAAATTAAACTGTGTTTGATTTCAACATAAATTGAATATATATAGGGTTCTTTGAAATGCTTAATCTAAACCTGTATTTCTTTTCATTATTAATAAGATAATACCACATTGAGGTCCAAAGGGTCCTAAATTACACTTTTGATTAATTTCATAAAAAATTGAATTTTTTGGTTCTTTGATATGCTGATTCTAGCAATGTTTGAGTGTTAAATCATATCTAATTTTAGAGAACTTAGTCATCACTGGTTGTTGTTATTATATTATTGATTATAATTTGAAAAATTGCATCATATCTTATTTTAGAGAACTATTTATCCAGTTTGAGTTATTTCCCTTTGCACAGAAAATATTATGGATAAAATTAACCTGTGTTTCATTTCAACACAAATTAAATATATATAGGGTTCTTTCAAATGCTGAATCTAAACCTGTATTTAAATATTAGATTTTTGGGCCCAGTTTTCAAGTTGGTCCAAATCAGGGTCCAAAATTAAACTTTGTTTGATTCAACAAAAAAATTATTTATGGGGTTCTTTGAAATGCTGAATCTAACCATGTATTGAGAGATTTTGGATTGTGGGCTCCTTTATCAAATTGGTCCACATTGAGGTCCAAAGGGTCTTAAATTAAACTTTTGTCTGATTTCATCAAAAATTGAATTCTTGGGGTTCTTTGATATCCTGATTCGAATATGTACTTAGATTTTCGATATTGGACCATAATAGGTATTTAAATATTTCAGTTCTTAAACCACATTCATTTTGTGTCACAAACCTATGCTGTGTCAAATATTCAATCACAATCCAAATTCAGAGCTTTTTTAAGCTTAAATGTAGTGTCCATACTTGCTCAACTGTTCAGGGTTCGACCTCTGCAGGAAAATCCGGTTTGCTGTCACTCTGACAGCCTCTTGTTATTTTTATATTACAAAAAAGGTCATGACAACAGTCAAAATCATGTTTCATTAGCACTTGAAGAGAGTTCACCAGTACTGTAAATTTTAGAAGAAAAAAATTCTAAATTCTAGTCAACATGCATATTTAAAGTGCTGACTTATTGGATAGATATGATGAATCTAGGACAAGCATTCAACAGGGGTGTGGAAATGCTATGCCTGATTCGCCCGACTCATTTATTTGAACAATCAGACAAGTAAATTTTTTGATCTAGGTTGCCTGTGGACAAGTAAAAAAAATACACTGGACAAAATTCAATTTAATCAAAAATATAGAATTATTTATTAAGATGTAATAATTTATGTAAAAGAAACCAATGATCAACACGTGAAAAACATATATTTAAGTCAAAACATCAATGTTCATGAAGACAAGTATTAAAAAACCTGGAAATAGATCGATAACCAAATTAAAAAAGATAAGTATGCGAAACCAGGTCTAGTAAATATTGAGTTATTTTTCTCCATTGACCAGTGATTGTTGATTAGCTTTTATCCACCATCTAACGGAATTTTTCATGGTTGAGTTTTATTGAGATGGATTAATACTAGCAGCGCACAAACTAGACCTAATCACAAACTAATACATTGTTGATGCCGCCGACGCCGGAAACAGCATACCTATGTCTCGCTTTTGGACTCCATCAAGCGAGACAAAAAAAGGAAAACACAGGTGGAGAAAGACCAGGAATACGGCAACGAGAATTCCATATGTCGTAGCTTACAAATTTCACCAGGCTTTCCAGTGAAGAAACCTCTGAAAATAAATTAAATTGTTGCACAATTTGTAGGAAACACTAACAACTTGCTGATCAAAGTCTTACTCAATTGTTGGCAAATTAATAGATAGAAGCTTAAGGGACACTTTGGTGGCCATCAATGTTCTGTAAAACACCAAGCTTGTCAGATGAAAGAAAACAGTAAAAAAAAAAACAGGTGTCTGGAGAAATGGATAAAACATTAGTTGCCTTCTAGATTTTTTTTAGTTGTTTTGCTTTTGGGTGCGGTCACTTTGATGTTAACCCCATACCTCATTTTATTTATATACATGAAAAAATATCAGAAACGTCATTTATATTGCGATACAAAACAGTAAAAGATTCATAAAAGCTTTGTAAAAAACTTCAATATTTATTGTGAAATTTAGGGCTAGTAATGTTAACATTTTTCCGGACAAGTCAAATTTACAGTTTAACCTGCCTAGGGACAAATGTTTCCACACCCCTGTTCAGCATGTTCAATTGATATAATATATTAGATAAATTTTATATTTTAGGTTTGAGAAAAGTGTACCCATACTATTTTACATTTTCATCATATTGCAAACAGCGATGGAATGGTAAAACAGTACTAGATATCTTTACTAACGACTTTCATGGAACAGAAACAGAGGAATACGTAAGACTTCATAAAAACAGATGTACTTCTAATTTAGATTTATACTTTAATCTTCATGTACTTTTGTAACATAAGGGAGTAAAAATCTTTTTTTTATACTAATGACTCACATAAATTAACATCATTCATCCTTATAGTTACCAATTTCAGGTAACACAATATGCATTTTTTATTGCATAAACTTTATTATTGCCAACCAGAACAAGTTTCTTGTATAATAACAACTTTGGTATAAGGCGAGTCTATAAATAAATCAAAGATAAATCTTCTTGACCAAGTCATATTTGTATACTGTAAATTCCGAAATTATTGCGTGCATTTATTATTGTGATTTTGTCATTTTAGACTGAAATTTGATTTTAATTTTTACGATATTGAGAAAAATCCCGTTTAATTCGTATAAAAAATTCAAAATGCGAGTTTAAATTATTGCGATTATAACCCTGTCGCATTTTTCGCAATAATAAAAACATCGCAATAATTTCTGAATTTACAGTATTGTAATTTACTATGTTATTATTATCTTAAAGATTGATGCTATTGAGAGTGGCAGAGTAAAAGTAAATGGTAAACCAGTATCAATAGATTACAAAGTTAAAAATCATGATTTTCTGGAACATACTCTTCATAGGTAAATTATAATAAGAATGTTTTTAGTTGAATTAATACTTTCTGATCACAGTTAGAGAAGTTAGAATGATCAGGAATTGACACATGGAAAACACAATTTATTCAATTTAAACCTCAAGCATGAGTACCATATGTTTTACAAGAATTAGAACATAGCTTTCTTTACAAAGCAGGAAAAATATTGAAACTTTAGAATCTATGATAAATATAAGATAGGGACCTTATTTCAAAGATTCAAAGACAAGTTTTCAAAATTGCTTTTTATCATCTACAATACTGCATGAATTTCTTCTGAAATTAGTTAAAAATTGAACTTCAAGATGAATTGGTCATAAACCAAAAGTATACCTTACTGGAAAACTAAGTTTTCACTCTGTCTTGTCAGTAATAATTACTTCCTATTACAGAGACTATCCATGGCCTTAGATAAACAAAATCAAATTGAGAATGGAAATGGGGAATGTGTCAAAGAGTTGGGACAGGCGCAAACATGCGGTGGGGTTAAACATGTTTTGTGAGATCTCAACCCTCCCCCTATACCTCTAGCATATATATACAAAACTACATATAAAATGCCATTAATTGCCAAACAATGAATGTTATAATTGCATATTGTCATTGTATAACAAACATAACAGCAGGCTATGGTACTACATCATATCTATAAAAGTTGATAGGTTTAATCATAACTCTATTATTTTCAGACATGAAAACCCTGTTAGTGGAAGTCCACTGAAGATTATACATGATGATAAAGATGTTGTAGTTATCAATAAGCCACCTTCCATTCCATGCCATCCCTGTGGAAGATATAGATTTAATTCTATAGCCTTTATATTAGGCAAAGAATATGGATATCCTAATCTTAGAAGTAAGTTTTTGTATGTTCATGAAGTCATGTCACATAAATATTGCACTGTACTTTTCAATACAGAAAAAAAGAAATAGACTATGGGATGCTCCAGATTTAAACACTTGGGGTAGGGGGTGGGAGGCACTTTTTTAGACCCCAACCACCATAATATAAAATTTTCATGTTATTTATGATTCTTACATAATTCTAAAGAAAATGTAACCACCAACAATTTACTAATTGGAGTGCCTCCCATCCCCCCATATGTTTAAAACTGGAACAGCTATAAAAAATAAGCATGTCTTAATTTAAATTTAAGATAGTAATCCTCTTATTTCAATTAGATTCAATTATATTTGTTGGTATCAAAATTTGTGGATTGAGAAAAAAATAAATTTCAGTGGATGTTTAATTTCATGGTTTTGACAAATTCAGTACAAAATTGAAACCTAATATTTTAATGAAAGCATAAATGTGTATATCACATTTACACACAAAAATTAGAACCCAACTATAATAATGAATTCACAGTACATTATGTACTATATTTTATTTGTAACAGCTCAATTGTTGTAACATAACAAAGAAAAAAATAATCTTATCATGCTTGCTTGTGCCACAATAAAATGAAAATAATGTTATGATAAATACTTAAAAAAGAAAAAAGAGATAAGCAACAGAAGAAATGAGTTAAAAAAAATAAAAAAAATGGAAAGTTTGGACCTAAAATTTCATCAATTTCTTACCATGGTGTACAGGGGACCCAAAACACTTATATTTTTACTATTGATATGACTGAATATAGAGAAGTTTCTTTTATAAAAACAGCTTGCATAATTATTTATCAGTGGATTAACTATATGATTAATTATCTTGTTTCAGATATTTATAGATTAGATCGCCTAACGTCAGGTGTTTTAATTTTAGCCAAAACACCAGAAAAAACGAGGCAACTTGAAGATGAAATATTTGGTAAACATGTACAAAAGGAATATGTTTGTCGTGTGGTGGGAGAATTTCCACAGTAAGTATAATGTTTTGGAAATGAAAATGAAGATGCATTGTAAATAATTTTGATGGAACATTCCTACTTCCCAGTAGTTAGTGTCTTTCCTGTTTGAATTAAAAATGGAAAATCTGAAATTAACAAATATGAAAGTCCTCAGTTATATGTAAAAGCTCGTTTCGAGCCCATAAAGTCACATTTGTTATATATTGCTCTCTCATTCATATCTTTGTATATTAATGGTCAAGTTAATTCACATTTTCTACATGGATTTTTTAATCAAATATAATTGGTCTACATCATCCCTAGGTTATGAACAAAAGAAGATGTAAAGTAAACTTCAATAAACAGCAACCTAGTGACAAAGATAAAAAAAACTTAATTTCCTTTTGATTTCTTTCAATTTTTCCTCTATTCAAAAACATTGGTATCTACAAAAATAAATCCACAGTAGCATTAGAAATAAGAAAATGAGGTATGTCCTATGATTGCCAATGAGACAACTCTCTGCCAGAGACCAAATGCAGTAGAGGTGTAATACCACCAAATCATAGTACATCACATCCGGTTGCATACGAAAATAGGTCGAAAAAAAATATTCCCTTGAATTTGACAGTTGTAGGTAATTGATCCTACATTTCATTGCAGTAAAACGTTTTTGAATGTTACATGGTTACTAAAGCTTGTACACAGGTTAAAAAAGGGGAAAAATTTGATTGGTTAACTTCCAGTGATGGTTATTTTCTTATATGCAATGAAATGTTATGTGAAAACCTTAATATAAGGTGTAATACCACCATTGATTTTCCCCTATTAGTCTTTGTTAAATTTGCACTTTTCAAAAAATTGTGCAGAATTTATCTTTGTTTCAAATAAAGTAATACTTGGCATGAGTAAAGATTTATCCTGTCCAGTACTATAGAAAAAATTTCACATAACATTTCATTGCATATAAGAAAATAACCATCACTGGAAGTTAACCAATCAAATTTTTCACCTTTTTTAACCTGTGTACAAGCTTTAGTAACCATGTAACCTCAAGTTTCCAAAATATTCTATAGAAACCCCAAATAAAGAAAAAATGGTGCTTTGAAATACCCAAGATATATGTTTATGACTCAGAAATGTTTTACTGCAATGAAATGTAGGATCAATTACCTACAACTGTCAAATTCAAGGGAATATTTTTTTTTGACCTATTTTCGTATGCAACCGGATGTGACGTACTATGAATTGGTGGTATTACACCTAAAGAAGACTTTTTTGTTAAATAAACTGATTGTGACTTTTTTCCTTTGTAATACTGGTTATTTCAAGCATTCCTGTCAAGTTTTGTCATAATCAGTTCAATAGTTTGAGAAAAATCTAGTATAATGTAAGACGACATCTACAGCGATTCGAGCAAAATTTCTTCGAAAAATCCAAACCAAGCCGCATCATGATAGAATATAGTGTGGACCAATAAATGATCAAATATTTATCTCATCTGCCTACAAACAGTTGAATATGGTACAACAGATGACTTTAGGATGATAAATACTACTAATGGACCTCTTTGTCTTCCTTATAAGGTCTCTTTTGGTCCATTTATACCTCTCATTTCCTCAAAATTTCTACTTTTTAGGCCAATAAATAAAAATTTTGGGGTAACTTTCACTCATTTATGATAGAAATGTTATTATAAATGATTAATTGAAGTATTCAAGCTGAATGAACTATCCGTATAAAAGTTTACTGTCTCCAAGGAGGTTTCAATAAGTCCTTACGTAAAACTTAAATTTACGCCGCGTTCCAGAGAGGGACATAAAAAACTTCTCTTTTGGTGAATAATTTGTTGTTACTGCTTTAAAAATAATTTCATTTACTTAAAACTATATATTTATGAAAGTATTTCTTATGAAAAATTTTCTAGTATAGCAGAATATAAGAAATAAGGAGAAAAAGCTCCCCAAAACTCTAAATATGGCTTGTTCTGTCAACTAATATTCATGGTAAAGTCCTATTTCAAGGAAATTTTCTCATAAAATGTATTTTGGAGACTCAATCCACTCAGAATATTTCATTATTTGTAATATTTCACTTAAATAGCAAGAAATTTTAACACATGAGAGTACTCACAAGGTCAAAGGTGCATGTACAGCTTCCCATAGAAGTAAGCAACACGTTATAAGAACATTCTTCAAATTATATCAAATGATCAATCCTGCTGTAAGTTCTAAATATTATACTTCAAATAAAATACAATCCAATTTAATATACATGTAGCTTTTTTGCATAAATGAGATAAAAGATAATGGTGAACAAACTTTTTAACTCATTGTAAGTTCTGTAAATGGTCTGATCTGAATGGAATTTTTCATTTTGTTCTATTAAATAAAACAATCATCAGACATATATGTAATGATTTCATGTCACTGTTTAGATCCCTATCAGATTGATACATGCATTTATGAATATAAATAAGAAGATGTGGTATGAGTGCAAATGAGACAACTCTCCATCCAAGTCAAAATGTGTAAAAAGTAAACAATTATAGGTCAAAGTACTGCCTTCAACACCAAAAGTCTGTGTTACCCTTATTCAAAACTGTAGAGTTCTTACCGTCTGCCAAACAAGGCCAAATAAAATACCCATATTATTTTTTATCTGCCTGCATCAATGATTTTATAGTCATTTCAATTAAGACAAGAAAAAAAAAAAATTCAAATCTATATATAATGAACAAAATGTTGTACAATCCAAATTCATACATTTGAGAGATTTTAAATAACACAAACTTTAAAAAAAAATGCCTCGCCCTGTTTTTTTTGCCAACAAGATAAAAAAAATGTGCCACCTGTTTAAAGAATATGTTCTTAGATTATTTTTGTGTGGCCTAGTATGGCTACATTCATTTTAAAAGCTATAGCAAATAGAAATCAAGGGTGGATCCAGCCATTTATAAAAGGGGGGTTACTAAATAACCCAGGATAAAGGGGGGTTCCAACTATATGTCCCCATTCAAATGCATTGATGGTAAAAAAAAAAGGGGGGTTCCCTGGAAATTCACTGTATTTTTTTTGTAATTTTAAATGCATATTTCTTTTCAGAGAAGAAATAATTTGTGATCAGCCACTTGACTTAATCAGCCACAAAATTTCCATGATGAGGGTAAAATCTCCTGGCAAACCAAGTAAAACTGTCTTCCAGAGATTAAGTTATAATGGAAAATCCAGTGTTGTCAGATGTTAGTTCAGGTTTAGTTGATGTACAATGTATTAATTTGTGGTGATCATTTTGTTTCATTAGATAAGAAATGGATCCATACTACATGTATTTGACTAGACAATTATGCCAGTCTCATCAAGTGCTCCTGGGGCAGGCATGGATATCATCAAAACAAGATGAAATTACATCTACTATTTTATGCTCACATATATATAGCATTAACAAATTATTGTGTTCATTAAATATTGTGAATATTGAAGAATGAACAAATGTGCAAGATCAGTTATTGCGATTTCAGGAAAATCTGCATGCAGATATACATGTATGTATCAGATATCTGAATGTGAGTTCTAAGTATTGCGATACTCAACTAGCCGCATTATTTGCATTAATAAAAGCCTCACAATCATTTTTGAATTTACAGTACATGCATGACATGTTTGAGGTTCTACTTCTTAGCATGATGCAATCTTAATAAGTTTGACTATAGTCTGGTAGTGATAAGTTTTGACTTTTAAAAAGGATAGATATTTTCTGTCAGTTGAAATGAAATGGAACCCATTTAGGGACCACATCAAAAGTTCAATGTAGGATAAAAATCTTAATTCACATAGATTTTTCCTGGATCCCCCACCCCCCTTGTAACTTAATCTGGAAAATATTGATTAACCAGTAAAGGCGAATTTTAGTGTTGTTTCCTAAACAATGATTGATTGTTGCTAAATGTCCAGTGGCAAATATTTTTTATACTTCTGGATGAGAACAAATTATCAATACATGAAATACGTAGGTCCTGTAATAGGGGACGAATTATAATCCTAGTATTTTTTATGAGTTCCCCGCCCCTTCCCCTTAAATGACTATCCTGTATAATTTATTACCTTTTATTTTCATGAAAGGTCCAAACACATTTAAGATTGAACTTTCAAGCAACCACCAATAAATCAAATCAATCATGTGTATTTCTTTAACCTGAAAAATCAATGAAGGATAACAAAACCCCCTAACTATGTGAATTAAGTTTTTTATCCTACATAGATCTTTTGATGTAACTGTATTATCAAAACACAGGTTGTAAGTTATCACCAATATGCATACATTGTCGGAAGATTTAAATATATATGGACAAGCTTTAGAAACAGGAAGAACAGATTATATGGTAAATAAAATAGTTAAGAATAAGGGTTTATATTGCTGACATTGCATTCATCAGGCATATTTTGAACATTTGGATAAGTATTTTAGGATTTATTAATCCTTTTTTTCTAATTAAAGCATTTATTTCAGGTTTACCTTATACAGGAAGGACACATCAGATAAGAGTACATCTGCAATACCTAGGTAATACTCATAGCAGAAATTCGTTCATCAGTTGAAACAAATCATTTTTCTCATAACAGAATACAAAGTAAATGTCTCATTTTAACTGAATACATTTTGAATGCTTCCCGCCATTATCAATTACAATCATGATAAGCGTAAATCCTGAATTCCTGTAAAAATAAAGGCAGACGTTCTGTAGAAGGTACTTCTGCCTCTCTATAGTTATTTGACTGTCTGCACACACACAGATTACATGTCTATCCTAAGTCAATTGTGAATATAACAGCTAAATAAGTAAATGAATGGATTCCATACAACATTTAGTCTGTTAGATGGTATTGTGTACCTGTCTCATGAATTATTCATTAATCAAAAAGTAATATGCAACAATCATTGTTTTTGAAAAATCTTTAGAATACCGAATTCATTTGTGGGCAAAATTTGGAATTTCAAGTTTACTGTAAAATCCAAATTTAATCCTGTTCCAACAAACAAGGCATGTAATTTTGATACAGGAACAACTGATTTCTATTTTCATCTTAGAAAAATACTTAGAATTATTTTTTAATATGAACTACACATGTAGAGAACTTGTGCGGTAATTTCTGTAAGATATTTTAACAGTTTTCAACAGCACATTACCTTTCCATAGAATTGCATAGAGAATCTTGTATAATATATAAATTATCCTCACTAGATTTTTTAGCTCTAAATATCACAATTAAAGTTAAACAGGAAATGTTGTTTCAAAATTACTAAATATTCATTATGGAACAAGATCATAATGTTACTATTTTATTTTCAGGATATCCCATAGTAAATGACCCTTTATATAATAGCCCAGCATTTGGACCTAATAGAGGAAAATGTGGTGAATTCTGGAAATCTGATACAGAGGTTAGGTCTGATGTGAAAACAAGCTAGTTACAGACCTATCAAATATCAATGTGCAGCATTAAGGGCCTATATTTTATTATCTCAAATGATAGAATTGGAGAACTTCACATTGCTTAAGAAAGCTTAATTCCAGAATTTTTTTTCTGCGTTTTTGAAATTGTGATAACCAGAATTTGCTTTCAAATTTATCTTTTTTCAAATCTGAATAGATTACATGTACTGAATTCAAATTCAAGATATGTATACACTGTAAAATTGGGCCTTAAATTACTGAATTTGCTATCATTATCTCAAATATTTACTGCACTTTGGAATCTGTGAGCATCAATTTTTAATTCATATTTTAAAGGTTATGTTTGATAGGTTTCCTTCAAATTCCTATGTAATGGAATGAAAGCAATCATGTAATAGGCTCCCTCTTTACTGCTTGAACTAGATGTTAAACCTCTAAATCTGTATTTGATATAATAATTCCTTATTGATACTCAGTGTTCTCCCCAGGGCCTGTTAGCATCATGGTAATGTGATGCTATATTTCTTGAATGTGATGCTACATGTATCTGAAGTGGTTTTCTTATAGATTGTGTTATGGATGTGATGCTATAATTTTTAGAAACAAGATGGTATTTACAAATTTCCCTGTTTACCAGGATGCTATATGACATATCTGGGGAGAACAGTGATTGATACAATGTATGATTTTCATATTAGTATGTTCACTTTTATGAAGTGTTCTTGTTTAAGAAAATGTGTGCTTAGAGAAATCATACAAATATCTGAATAAACTCAGAAGTCTTTTATTGTCGATGATTTCGTCTTTTGTATCTTATGCACATACAAGAAAAAGTTTGTAAATTGTACAAGTTTCACGGGTGCACTTGGCCCTCAATCGCCTGAAGTTGTCAAAATATATATAAATTCTAGAATTTGTCCAGAAAAAGGTGTAAATAAAGACTGTAGATTACAAAAAGTTTGCACCTTACTTGAGACAAGATACCTGGGCATTGACCTCCTCATTCACCTATTTTCTAAACGAGTTGCTCTTGTTAGAATGAGTAACAGTCCAAATCTGAGGAACTACATGTACGTAAGAAACATATGACACATGGTATTTGTATAAAAGTAATGAAGGATCTAGACTGGTTCAGTTAATACCTGAAACGTAGTCCCGGGAACCAGGATATGAAGGATCTAAAAATAATTATATTATCTCAACCTGTATTTGATACATATAAACCTCTTATGAAATTTTGCCTGAAAAATAAAAAAAAAAAACAACAACATACTAATTGTTAGAGAAAACTCATTGCTTTGTTCAAAAGATTTATGTTATTTGTAAATGTCTTCACAACTTCATTGCTTCATATAAAATAGAATAGTTAGAAAAGCAAGTTGTCACATTCGGAGTGCTCATGTTCTTACTTGGATAACAAATAAAATTGGATATGACTTTTTTACAGATTACAGATGAAATACAGAATTTACATAGTGTTGGTTTATGGTATGATGGAGAAAACCCACTATATCATAAACGATTAAATGAAATAAAAGAAAGTCAAGGTAATCAAGAGTCCAAAGAAAAAATAGAATGTATAGACGGTGATGTTAGATGTACAGTGTCAGAGGTGAAATCTGGAATGGGAAGTTCAGAAAGTGAAACAAGAAACGATTCTATTAATAGTAATACAGAGGTGGATAGTTCAGAACCTCGGGAAAAGAAAGCTAGAATTGATCATACAGAGACAGAAAAAAAAAGTAGAAACAGTGATGAAGTAACAATCCAAGAAAAATCTAATGGTTCAGAGTTCATATCAGAATCTGGATTAGATGATGATAAAAATAGAGGTGATAATTCTGAGTCACTTGACTGTAATAGAGAGATGTCATGTACAGCAGCTAAGGATGATGTGGAGAAAACAATTGTTTATCAGACTTTTGATGAATCAAAATGGATTCCTAATGAACACTGTAGTAGCTGTAAGAGGAATTATATAGATCCTGGACCAAAGGATCTAGTCATGTATCTTCATGCATTGAGTTATAAGGTAAACTGTTTAAATAATTTCTAATTATACCCCTGCTCCGAATAAGGGGGTTTACTATTATACCCATGTCTGTCTGTATGAGCGTTTGTCTGTCATATTTTTCTCTACAAATAATTAATTCCTGAAATTTGCTATCCAGCTTCATGTAAGATTCATCACTCATCAACTTCCATTTAACCAAATACCTATATTTCCTAAGCACAGTGGCCATATATGAAATATTTTATGAGGATAAATTACCTGAATACCTGCCATAAAATTTTCGGATTTTAGAAGTTTGACATGTCCCAGTCTAACGATGATCGTATAAGACTGAACCAAGGCTTCCAAAACGGTCATATATTCCGGACATTTGTATAATGTCCGGTAAAAGTCCGGCTGGGCAAAGCACGAAACGGTCATCTACTTTTTATTTTTCAAGGCTTTCTTAAGAGACGGTCATTTTAACATAATTCGCGATCTTTTTGACCCAACCTTTTGCCTTTAACAGCCACACATTTCCGGTCATAAAAGTGACATGATCATTAAGTACTATCAAAACAACCCCTACTTAATACCTTCTCATTTTAATCAAGGCTAATTAGTTGTCGAACAGCTGAAATTTACCTGTTCAGGTGCCAGGTAAACTATTTTGAACCGGACATTGATCGGTCTATTCAAAGTTATTTTCTTACATTTCACCGGTTTGCATCTAATTAATTTAGTCAAAAAGATTTAAATTATCAGAAATACATTTACAAATAAGATTTGATGAAAAAATTAAAGAGGTGAAAATGAAAAATCGTCATAACTACGTTGTTTGAACCAGAGACATGTCTCTGTTTGAACTAGTACACGTGTGCGCATGTGCATGTGCGCAGGTGTAAAATTTAATTATGCATCCTAATTTCTTTAAAAAATGCTTAAATTGTCATTGATACCTTTATCTCACGTTTATTTCGAATATTTTCTTGAAGAAATAACGTAGAATGAGCTACATACACTCATTCATGCTTCGCAAACGTACACAGAATTTACTTATCCGTCTCTGGTCCATGTTTTACCATTGTCAAGATAACATCCGGTTTCAGATTTAAAAACGAAAGTAAAGTTTTTGACAACGTTATTTTGCACAAATAAAGAGTCTAAGGCAGATATAAGTACGCTGATGTTGCACACTTCGGATGATGCACTGCCAATTTAACAGTTTACGTCAGAACTTCGAATTTCAATCAAAGAAAGTTTAATATAGTTTTTTTTTAAATATCAATCATTGGGAAGGCCAAAGCGGCAACTGATTACCATAATTGCCTTTTGTTTATTTAGTCTTAAGGGATTAAAATCGGGATAATATATAAAATGTCCGGCTGGCTAAAAATAATTTTGGAAGCCCTGGACTGAACCTGTATTGTACGTTGATCTTTACATTCTTTAGATATCTTCTGTGTTTTTTTGTGTCATTGGATTGCTGTCTCATTCATGCTCTTATTGACACATATACATAAAAACATCTCCTTTTACTCATGATATTTGATTTGTAATCAGTAATCAAGAACAAAATATTCTTTTAATGCATATAAACCATAAGTTGTGATATAATTATTATCTATACCCTAAAACAGTAAAAAGAAGTAAAGCTTTACCTATGTACATTTGTACAGTGACATTCATACTATTTATTAAGGAACTAATTACTAAAATTTGTATTTTGGTGGTTTTTATTTCAGGGATCAGACTGGGCGTATTGTACAGCATTACCAGAATGGGCTAAAGAGGACTGGGTTGATGACACTTCTTTATAACATATGCTATTTTAGAATAAAAGAAATCTTCTATACAAATTTTATTTATAACCCTTATGCAGTTTTCTCCTTTTTATAATTCTGTCCAACATGTCCAAATGATGGGGATATTGTTTTTTTTTTCTGTCTGTCTGTGTGCCCATCGATCCATGCCTCTGTCTGTATCATATTTCTGTCACATTTTACTCAGCAATTACAAGTTATAGCTTTTTCAAATTGATATAAGATCAATAAGCTTCATCTGGTTATGAGATATACACCATGGGGAATATTTCAGTACCTTCAATGTTCTACTTCCTGATGACGTAACATATAAAGAACACATCTTTTTGCAGATCAGTGAAAAAGTTTGTCTACATATTGTCTAAAAATCATTAGAGGAACAAATTCCACCACAGAATCTTATGCAATACGATATTTCTCCACTCTCAACAGTTTAATCTACAACATTTGAACAGATCAGCAAGCCTCATATTTTTAAATTGAAAAATTTAAATATAGTATCACACTTGATGTAGGAGAATCTATAAATATTTTAAAATGTCATGTACACATATGAAATTTTTGTACAATTCATAGCTTCTTGATGTTAAAATGAAACCAAGCTTCATCAGGTTGTGCCATACCATGTGACATGTTTTCAGTTTCTTCATTGTTGTACATCCTGTTTCCTGAAATATTGTACATGTATCTTAATGTCAGTATTTATTGCAAAACAGAGTCAGCAATATTGAGTGGGGGTATAATTAGTGAGCAATATCTCGAAGTTTATCTTGTTATCTTTGCCTCACTTTTACAAAAATCTTCTCCTCTGAAACTACTGGGCCAAATTCAACCAAACTTAGCCACAATCATCATTGGGGTATCTAGTTTAAAAAATGTGTCCAATGACCCGGCTCGCCAACCAAGATAGCTGCCATGGCTAAAAATAGAACATAGGGGTAAAATATAGATTTTGGCTTATATATCTGAAACCAAAGCATTTAGAGCAAATCTGACGAGGGTAAAACTGTTAATCAGGTCAAGATCTACATGCCCTTTTGGCTTATATCTCTGTAACTAAAGCATTGCGAGCAAATCTGATGGGGTAAAATTGTTCAGCAGGTTAAGATCTATTTGCCCTGAAATTTTCAGACAAATCAGAAAACCTGTTGTTGGGTTGCTGCCCCTGAATTGGTAATTTTAAGGAAATTTTGCAGTTTTTTTGTTGAGCCTGCGACTTTTGTCGCAGAAAGCTCGACATAGGGATAGTGATCTGGCGGCGGCGTTAGCTAACTTCTTAAAAGCTTTATATTTTAGAAGCTAGAAGACCTGGATGCTTCATATTTTGTATATAGATGCCTTATGTTACGAAGTTTCTGTCTGTCATATGTCCATTGTCCTTGACCTCATTTTCATGGTTCAGTGACTACTTGAAAAAAAAGTCAACTTTTTTGTTATGTTAATTTCTTTCTTATTATGAGTAATAGGATAACTATATTTAGTATGTGCTTACCTTGAAAGGTCCTCATGCCCGTCAGACAATTTTCATTTGACCTCGACCTCATTTCATGGATCAGTGAACAAGGTTAAGTTTTCGTGGTCAAGTCCATATATCAGATACTATAAGCAGTAGGTCTACTATATTTGGTATATGGAATGATAATAAGGTGAACATGTCCAACTGGTAGGTGTCATCTGACCTTGACCTCATTTTCATGGTTCAGTGGTCAAAGTTATGTTTTTGAGTTTTGGTCTTTTTTTCTAATACTATATGCAATAGGTCAACTATAAATGGTGTATGGAAATATTTTATGATGTACATGTCAGTCTCACAGGTTTTATTTGACCTTGACCTCATTTTCACAGTTCATTTCTCAGTGTTAAGTTTTTGTGTTTTGGTCTGTTTTTCTTCAACTATAAGCAATAGATCAACTATATTTGATGTATGGAAGGATTGTAAGATGTACATGTCAGTCTGGCAGGTATCATCTGACCTTGACCTCATTTTCATGGTTCATTGGTCAATGTTAAGTTTTCATGGTTAAGTTTGTTTCTTAGATACTATAAGCAATAGGTCAACTATATTTAATGCCTAAATTGATTGTAAGGTGAACATGTCTGTCTGGCATGGTTCATCTTACCTTGACCTCATTTTCATGGTTCATTGGTCAATGTTAAGTTTTCATGTTTATTAACGACTGTTTCTTAGAAGCAATAAGCAATACGTCAACTATGTTTGGTTTATTGAATTATTGTAAGGTGTACATGTCCTAAGTATGAAATCATTCAAATTATAATGGCATATTGTTATTCTAAACTGTTTCCCAAAATTGATCGCCCTGAAGATCATAAAAACAGTTTATTAAAATAAAGTATGTCAATAAAGGTTTTGATTTTGTAAATATTGCCGGTATTTTTAACGACCATTCTGTTAAAGAACAAATTCCGGGATATTTTGATAATACTGAGCTCCCTCTTATTTGTTATATTTACAAGAAATCTACCCGGAAATTTGTGTTTAATTATAGCCAATTGTGTAAAGATGTTAATATCAGTGAAAATACACCTACTTCATGTAATTGCAGTAATTCCGAATACATTTATGGACCCATTTCCCATGTTATAACAGGAGATCTTAACATCGTTCAAGACCGAGAGTTGAAATCATTCCTCAGTAAAGGACCTAAATATCGTCTCCCGTCAATTATTAATTGGAATGAGTGTCGTAATATCATCCACGACTCACTCCATACTTACTGTTGTATAAAACGGGAAAAAGCTGACAAAAAATCTTTGGACTCTTTTTTTAATTCAGTAATGAACATAGTTGATATACGTATTCAACATTTTAAAGAACATTTTACTCTTAACAATAATCACAATAAACCTATTTCTCGTATCAAACATAAACTAAAAGAACTAGCCAAGGAATTTGTTTTTGTCCCGGCCGATAAAGCTGCTAATAATATTATTATTGTTTGACGTAAATTTTACATTGAGGTTCTGAAAAAAGAAATCACCAATTCACCAACATTCCAACTGACTCCATTTTCAGAAAACGACATCTGTAACAAACATAAACTTTTAGCTACCGCTTTACAAGCAGAACCAAATACAATGAAAGTCCCAACTATGTATTGGCTTCCGAAGCTACACAAAACACCTTACAAATATAGATTTATTTCGTCTTCAAGCCATTGTTCCACTACTAAATTGTCTATTCTTCTTACCAGTACACTTGGTACAATCAAAAACCTGATAATAAATTGTTCAAATAAGGCCTTCGAAAATAGTGGAATTAATTACTTTTGGAGTGTCAAGAACTCGTTGGAAGTACTTGATAAATTACATGCATATATTGGTGATTTTGAATCTGTTCAAAGTTTTGATTTTTCTACCCTATATACCACATTGCCTCACATTCTCATTAAGAAAAAATTCACACACCTAATTAAATGGGCATTTAAAAAGTCAGAATGTGAATATATATGTTCAAACTCTTTTAGGTCATTTTTTAGTAGCAATAAACAAAAAAACTATGTCAATTGGACATGCTTTGATACTATATATGCCCTTGAATTTTTACTAGATAACATTTTTGTTCGCTTTGGAGATTCCGTATATCGTCAGGTTATCGGAATTCCAATGGGGACTAACTGTGCACCACTTATTGCGGACCTTTTTTTGTATTGCTACGAGTTACAATTTATGACAAAAATCAGCAAAGACCCATCGAAACAACATCTGATACACAAATTTAATAATACTTTTAGATATTTGGATGATATTTTGGCTCTCAATAATGACGACTTCGGTATGTATACTAAAGAAATTTATCCTGTTGAACTTACTTTAAATAAAGCTAATACTAACAATGACCACTGCCCTTTCCTCGATCTTGATATCTATATCATTTATGGAAAGCTTAATACTGAAATATATGATAAAAGAGATGATTTTTCATTTCCTATCGTTAATTATCCATTTTTAGATGGTGACGTTCCCTTGTCACCATCTTACGGTGTTTATATATCTCAACTTGTACGATTCGCTCGTGTATGTAACAATGTTTTAGATTTTAACGAGAGAAATTTATGTATTACTGAAAAATTATTACACCAGGGTTTTCGATATCACAAACTAGTCAAAACATTTACTAAATTTTATCATCGGTATAAGGACATCATTCGTAAATATAGCTCAACATGCAGACTTCTTATACGTTCAGGTATTTCACATCCAATTTTTTATGGAAATATTCTTTATAAAGCACAAAAATGTCAGTATTCACCTCTGAAGCTAACAAAACCTTTAAATAGACTTATTAAGAAGGGATATAGTTACGATACTGTTGTCAGGTCATTAAAGATTGCATATTTTGGCGTTAATATTGATTCACTTATAGGGTCTTTGCATCGGCACTAAACACATTTATTTAAAAACCAGTTGTTGGCATGACACGGGTTATGTTCTTCTCATATATGTTATGATGGTATGATACTAAACCCCTAACGGGAAGGATTGTGCCTGATATTCATATGATGAAGACATAATCTTTCAATCAGTTTAATTGAAGTCTGGAGCTGGCATGTCAGTTAACTGCTAGTAGTCTGTTGTTATTTATGTGTTATTGTCATTTTGTTTATTTTCTTTGGTTACATCTTCTGACATCAGACTCGGACTTCTCTTGAACTGAATTTTAATGTGCGTATTGTTATGCGTTTACTTTTCTACATTGGCTAGAGGTATAGGGGGAGGGTTGAGATCTCATAAACATGTTTAACCCCGCCGCATTTTTGCGCCTGTCCCAAGTCAGGAGCCTCTAGCCTTTGTTAGTCTTGTATTATTTTTAATTTTAGTTTCTTGTGTACAATTTGGAGTTTAGTATGGCGTTCATTATCACTGAACTAGTATATATATTTGTTTAGGGGCCAGCTGAAGGACGCCTCCGGGTGCGGGAATTTCTCGCTGCATTGAAGACCTGTTGGTGACCTTCTGCTGTTGTCTGTTCTATGGTCGGGTTGTTGTCTCTTTGACACATTCCCCATTTC